TTCTCTATTTCATTCTATTTTTTTTTTTATTCAATCTCATTTCTCACTTCGTTACATCATGATACAAGTATTATGTATATTATATTGTTTAGCTCCTTTCGCACAACTCGTTTGTTCGTTTCAGCATTTTACTTTAAAGCGTGAAACAGAATAGAAGCAATAATGTAAAGTGCTGCGCGAATCGTGTCGATTTTATCTCCATCTGGCGTTTAAATCAAATCATTTTTCGCCGTTCGATATTCTTTGATCAAATCGCAACTTAAGTAAATGTTATATATATTTACTTTTATTCGAAAGATTTGAATGATGATATTTTCAAATTTGTTCCTTTATTTTTTCAATTATTATTTTTTTTTTTTTTTTTCCTTTCAACGCGAACCGAAAGTGTTGAAAACGAACACGATATCCATAGCGATTTCTCGCAATAACCGTAGGCTTCGCTTTCGAGATGCGCACGCGCGCCCTCTTCCGTATCTCGAGCGGTAAAAAGTTGGATAATTTTCGGATCGAGAGGTAATCGCAAGCTTGTATGGCTTTACCAATTGCTAGATCGATTTCGATTGAACGGAACTTTTACTTTACAGAGGTAACCGCCGATTAAGTCGTAATAATCTCATCGGGGTGGAAGGTTAGATCAATCGTTTGGAACGGGCAGCTGTTTGATTAGCAATGCCAAAAATACAGTAGTCGGCTTTCTAATTGACGCAACGACGATCGACGATCATCGTGGTTAGTCATCCGGTCGACAAGTCGCGACCGATCGCGAGCATCAGTCACCTAGGCGTTTCTTTTCCATCATCTTCCTTGTGTATCCAACGCGCGAGCACGTTTGTAGAAAGTGAGTAATAAATTATAAGTTATCCAGTATTCGAGTACACGAATATTCAATACGTGTTAGATTGCGTTAGATTATATATATTATGGCACAAGCAATAAGGAGAAAGAGGAGAGCGTACAAAACGAATACGTTGAAAAATCATAACGATGTAAAGAAAAAAATTGTATTACATATATATTATTATTTAAAAAATTTGTAATTATACGAATGAAATATTTTTGAGTTTCAACGTTACCATTTAAATTATTTTTATTACATCATTACTCTTATCATTATCACTATTATCATTACCATTAATGCAATATCAACTTGTTATTGCTCTTCTCATTATTTTTTTTTTGTTAATATCTATAATATATTTATTGTTATCTTACTATATTATCGCCTATGTCGTCATTATTGTTGTCTTTCTCATAGTTATTTATTTATTATTTTTATCATCATTGATATACTAATATTTTTATCAGAATAATCATTGTGATTAGCCTTATTTATATTTTTCTTCTTTTTTTTAAATTTCATTTTTATTGCTGTTATTTATTATTATTATTATGATAAATTGTTGTTATGATCGTTGTTACTATCATTGTTAATTCTTTAATGCTAGCACCAAAATACTTAATTGTATGCATGCAAAAAAACATTGAAACATGCAGTGAAATGCGGACAATAATGCATTATTTTTATAAAATGCTGCGAATCTCATATTAATTGAATTATTTATTTACTTACTTTTTTGCTTGCTTACTTATTCACTTATTATTATCTATAATTTTTTATTCGATATGTTATATATCGAAGGAAAAAGAAGCAAGATTATAGCCAGTAATGTAACAAATGGTGACGATAATAACGATAACACTTTTTAAATTACATTTAATACAAGTTTGAAAATCGATAATAATATATTCGTTCTCCTCTTTGATATTTAACGAAGTCGAAAGAAAATCGAATGAAAAATCGCTTGAATGCCAAAGATTGTCTTAAAGTAAATCGAAAACTCGCGCCGATATACAAAGATATAAAAATCATTTCTTTGTATTCGTTTGATCGATTCTATTTTGTACAAATAACTAACTGAACGAATATCTTTTTCCTTTCTCTTTTCCTATGTATTTCCTTTTCCTTTTCTCGTTTTAAGTGCCAACTAATGACGCAAATTCGTCGTCGTCATCGTCGTCGTTGTCGTCATCGTTATCATCATCGTTGTTATTTCTTATTTTTCAAAATAATATTTTTCAAACAGAAATTCCCTGAACGAATCATTAAATTCATCGTAAAATTCTATTCACATTATTTTGCATTATACATATTGTTTTCACATAATATATATATGTATGTAGATATTTATTAACATTTACGAAAGCGATGACGTGAATGTGCTTTAATGGTTAAAAGGGTTCTATTATAACTTGGAAGAGGAAAGAAGAAATAAGAAAGAAGAAAAGGAAAGAAAAAAAATGGCGGAAGCTATTTAATCGTAATGTAGGTTATGATATTGTTTTCATTTCTTATACGCGATATATTTATTTATTTTAACAGTTAAAATAATACGCGGTCTTGCTACAATGTATGTATAATGATTCTTGTAAATAACAATATCATAAATTATGAGTGTAACATGGAAAAGAACGTGTAAGAAGATAAAGAGAAACTATTCCGCGATCTATTCGTGACGAAAGATCGCATGTTAGAATTTGGACTGTGAGAATGATGGGCATTCGAGATACATTCGGCCGCGTGCTATTGTTGCTGCTGCTGCTATTGTTGCTATTACTAGCATAACGTTGCTGTTATTAGCATAGTTCCAAAGTCGAGAGCACGCTGGCCGCTTTGTCGCATATTCGTTGAGATGCATGCACATCTACCTGATAAGACTTTAACTTAATCTAATAAAGGTTAATGCTACTTAAACTTAATGCCATTTAAATGAAACGTTTATAAAACAATTTTCGCCACATCGGTATTTATATCATTTTGCATGTAAGCGTACGTGCACGTGAACCTACATGTTCAATTACTTTTGTCAGTGCTGTTCTTTTTGTTCATCATATCATCATTTTTTCTTCCTCCTTTTTATTTGCCTGCATCCCTTTTTTCTCTTTCTCTTTCTTCTCCTTATCAACGATTTAAATAAAAATACAAACTATTATTTTCTTTGGGTATCGAGATATGTCTAATGGATAGAACAGGTATCGTGTAATCATTGTCGATAATAATGGGGATTCTCTGAAATAAAGAGAAACAATATAAAAGAGATATACATATACTTAATAAATCTAATTAAATTCAGAAAAATGAACATTGAAAAATAAACATGAAGCGAAACACGAATGAGAAATTTTTCTTTCTTCCGAAAAAAAAAAAACGATTAAAATCTTTAGAAAGAATCGAAAAAATATGAACAATCAACAAATTTATAGAATTACGAGTCAAATGCGAAGAAAGAAATATACGATACTTGTACACCGCGCAATACAAATTATCGACTTATCTTAATGGGTACCATCTACTTTTTTCATGTGTTCTAACATGATTGTATCTGACAAATTCCATATACCGATATATACCACGCACATTCAAGTCAAGTTACCGAACAAGTTATACGATATGATTCGATGTTCGTACGCCATTATCAATTTACATTATTTAAACTAATCATGATGTTAAGACCGGTTCGTTGGGCGCATCGTTTTTCTAGTCTTTGTTCCCTAAATGAAAGTGATCTGGGCGAGTATATGTAAATCGGATAAAAACGGGTCAAAAATGAAAACAAACTCGGGTAAATATGCTGTATAGTTAGATTACGTAGAAAGGAAAAGGATTAACGCGTTGACACGAGATAGGGGGAAAATTTTAGTACAAATTCAATAGCTTTATCGCTTAAGATGTGAAAAAGAACAAGAATAAAAGGTACTAAAAAAAATGATATGGCAATAAACACATAGTATGCAACATACGAATGCAGGGTTACAAATACACGATTAGGAAGTCGTTCGACGAATTAAGCGCTCGACGCCTCGGTACTAATATCGACGACATTTCGTATCCCGTGAATTACAATCCAAACCTTTCCTTCGAATTATATACGTATTATCCGAGATCATCCATGTTCGTTTGTATCTCATATATCTATACGCATTATTTTTTCCACTGCAAAGGTTTACGCGTCACCGATCTCTAGTATGCGAAAAGAGATCTGAGTTATCATCTATTATTTACTCAAAACAAATCGAATAAATTTCGAGAATGATAAAAAGTAGACTATAAGGCGTTGATCGATAGAAAATATAAAATATGACGATTTCGATCGCGATAAGTAGAGGTAATGTTTTTTAAGAAAAGAAAAAAAATCAATGCAAGTAAACGAGAGCGATTTTTATGTAAATTTTCTTGATAATTTTGTAAAAAGTCTTATTTAATCTTCTAATCTATCAATAAATTAAATAACAGTTTATAAATGAAATGAAATGATGTGTTATAATGCATGTACACATGTACATAAATATATATATATATATATATTTATATATATATATATATATATATATATATATATATATATATTGCCGGATACCCCATTATTTCCCGATTTTAAGAAAAAAAGTCATTTAAATTATTCAACAAAATAAAGTAATATATAAAACAAAATAGAATGGAAAATGGAAATATTCGTAGGTATATTCTTCTTTTTCCTTTCTGAATAAAATCAAACAAAATATTATAATATTAATCATTGAAAAAATTATTGGAAAATTCTGATAATATCAAATAGTTTGCAACTGTTGAAGACCTAAAATAATGTTTAATGTCCTTAATGATTTTTTATCGTTTATCCAAATAAATTCATTTTATAGAAATCTCCTTTTGGCTTATATTAAAAACATCGGAAAAATGGAACATTCGATACAAATGTAACGCAAATATTTCATGTAGTGCTAATTTTGCACATGCAGGTAAGTCTAATTTGCCGATAAGATATGTCGAATAAATAAAATTTCGAATAATCGTTGTATATTGGAACGAAAACAACGTGTTGGAAACCGAGAAATTACATATTGTTTATAAGTTGATTTAATCGCATTCATGGACGGAAGAATGCGGTTTTTATCATATATACCACTACGACTATATCTGGTGGTAAAGCAAAAAAACTCCACGATAAATATTATTATGAATGTATTTGAAATAAATGAATAAATGGAAACAAAACACGCTCCGTTACACCGCTTTATACAAATTTATTTTTTTTTTTTAAACATTATTCGTGTTATGATTCCGAAGATTCTTATCGACATATGCAAAAAAATCTTAAGAGCAAGTATATCGGCTTTACAAAGTTATATCTAATTTTAACCGACCAAAAATGTACCCCTCGCTCTCTCTCTCTCTTATACACACAGGCGCGCGCGTTCACGCGCGCACCCATCACCCTCACTCGCTCACCCCCCCCTCCCCGTCCAATATACCAGCTTTTGCTTTCTATTTCTGCTTTTCCTGTCCGAACCATAACGTCGACCATCTTCCGTTATACATTCTTAAAAAGTCGAAGTGTTTATCGGCCATTGAGTTTAATAAAGCACGAAAAATATAGTAGTCGCATCGTTGATCTCAAATACGATGATTTTATAAAATGAAAGGATCAAAATATATTATTCCTTTTCCAAATAAAAAAGGAAAAGTTAAAAGTATGAGGCAGATGCGAATATTTCAACGACGCCTGGGAGTTACCTTTTATTACAATTATTACTTCAATGTTTATTCCTTATTTTGTTATCAATAAAAATCGTTACATAGTAGTTTGGGTTGCTGCTTGACGCCAGCCGAATCGACAAGCAATCAGTTATAGTAATAATAGTAGCAATAATATTACAGTAATAATAAATGGTAGCAGTATCGTGTATTAAATGTATGTATGTCATGTATATGAGCGTGTGTATGTGTACGCGTGAACGCATCTGTATGACTGCGTGGGTATTTCTCGATATAACTCGTATAAGACTGCATTAATCGAATGAGAAACATTTACACGGTCAAAGGAATCTATTCTTTTAAATGCTTAATAGATCCAAATTTCAATGTTGCATTTTAATATATTTAATTTTCAACTAGTTCCACATTAATATTATCTTTGATAAAAAATTGTGCTAAGAAATATTGATCATTTAATAAGAAAGAAAAATAAAGATATAAGAATAAATGAAAATATGAAGATCGAACAATTTAATTATTAACTTCTGTTCCGTGTATAGTTCTTTCAACTTTTGCAATCATATATTTTGTGTTCTGTATGCATGTCACGCGCGCTCGAATGTCATATTTATATATTTATATTATCTTGGTGTATATCTTCGACTCTCGTTCCAGTTCTCATCCCCGTTCCTCTCTATTTCTTTCTCGATAAATGACATGTCTCTTGTCAGTTTGTTTTATTTTTCTTACACATAGCAATATTAAAGAGAGTAAATAGTTAAAAGGGTTGTATCGATCTGGGAGAGGGAGGTGGCCAGGATCGTATCAATCCACGCCTTTTCACCCTCTGCCGCACGTTTGCCCGCACCATCCGCACCGTCCTCCTTACCGTCACTATCTTATCGACGTAGTCGCTTTTACATATTTCTTTTTCTTGTTCTTTATCATCGATATTGTACCTCTATTGCGCTCTCCGACATACCTTTAGACAACCGCTCCTTGTTTCCGTTTCACGATTCTTGCTGTTCAATCTTTAAAAATCAATCCTTTCATGCTACCTCCCCTTTTCCCTTATTATTCTCATTCGCACGTTCTCTTTCTTACTCGATCATTCATTTTTTCTTTCACGCCCTTTCCATTTTTAGTTTCTATCCCTTTAAACTTTCTCTAACATACTTTCTCGCTTTCGTTCACTCTCTTTCTTTTTCTTTCATCCTTTTCATATTTCGCTCACTCTTTCTCTCCATTTCTATTATCCTTTCATTCGCTACAAAGACTGTAAATCTAACACGCAATAGTTTACTATTATTTATTATCATTATTTCTTATATTTAATGCATGCTTCTTGTGTATTTTTTCTCTCCATCGACGAATCGACACACGATCATTCGCAAATGAAAGATTGTTTATTTGATCTATTCCCAATCACTATCACTTTTTAAGTAAATATTTATTGTTTATATGGAGCTGTATAAATGTAAAACTGCATGTATTTTTAGTTTATATTTTTTTCATTTCTTTTTTTATTCTTTTTTTTTTATTCAATTGTAAAAAAGCATTTTTTTCTTTTTTCTTCATCGAAGTTTTTGGAATTCTGTCGTTAATATTGACATCTCGATTGTAAATACACATTGGAATAAAAATTCAAAACATAAGTGCTACTATCGAAACAAAAACAATGAAAAGACCGCACTTCATCGATTACAATTTGCGCGATCATTTTTCAAGTAAATGCCTATGAGTTTTTTCAAAAATTATTGCGCATATGTATGAGCGCTTGCGTCTGTTCCTCGAACGTCGACCAGCCGAATCGAAGAGGAGAGAACGACGACTGGAATATGATAGCTGTGTTGCTGGTGTTGTTGCTGATGTAGTTGCTTTTCATCGAATGTCGCGCGGCAAGCTTGCGGCAGTTCCGGCGCGACTCGTGCGGCATGACGCATTCCATTCGCTGTTCATTAAAATAATCGATCGTTTAATATTAATATTAGATATTTATGTTGGGTCCCAGAGGTTACTGAAACAAAAAAAAGAAAAAGAAAAAATGTGGGAAATACCTTACTGTTAATTTCCTTGTATAATATTTATTTACTTAATTGATATGAACAAAAAAAAAAAGCATTAAAAATTTAAAACTTTCTATATATATTTTTTATATTATTTTTTGTTAAGTCATTTTTCATTCAATTGTAAAATTTTACGTCTCATATTTGATTGCTATTTCTTATTTAATTATTTTTAAAAAATATTACGATATGAAAAAGTACATTTATGCTGTTCTTGCATTGTTCATTTTTTTTAATTAAAGAAGAAATATTTATCCGTAAGAAATATTTATACTTCGCAATATACACGCAATTCAAGAACGAGGGACAGCATAAGTCTATGATTAGTCATCATTGCAAACTGATACATCGAGCCAAAGTGGTTAACTAAAATTATGCGAAAATGACTTATGAACTTATACGTATATCTTTTTATTCGTGTGAAAAAAATTTGTGAATTTCATCGTTTGTTTATTTATTTTATGAAAATTTACATGGATTCATATTCAAAATTCTCTCATATAAATAATCTTTTATATTATAAGATTATAAAATCAAATATGGAACGTTTATGTATTCAAGCAAATTGACGTTATATAAACTCAAAACTTAAACTTGGGATTGCTTAACACATACTTTCAATTTTAATTCAATCTTTCTATTGAAAAGCATAAAATGCTACTTCTGTATGTTACACAATTATTAATCGGTGCCGCTACTTAATGCTTTAATTTATTTCGTCGCAATTATATCGTAGAAACTACTCTACAAATGTAATAAAAATTCAATGCTAAATACCATACTCAAATGATACATACGTATATACTAACCTAATAGCCGCAGGACACAAGGTAGTCCCCAAGTTTTTCAACGACCGATGCGGCTTGCTGTGGTTGTATAGGATCTTCGTAAAGAGAGACAACTACTGCTTGCGTCGTCTTCATGCAGTGGACGCCAACTTTTCCAAGTTTTGCCCTTATCACTCGATCCGTACCTGACAGGTAAATGTACCTGTTGCCGGCCAAGGTGACACCCGACGACGTCAAAATATCTTGTTCTTCAAATCCCTGGACCAATTTCGTCAACTCCTCTTTACTTACCTATACATACAAATCGTCATATGTTTGTTGACTTAATATAAATTGAAATAAATTAAATAAAATCAAAATTAGATAAAAATGATAGAAATTATTATGTTTATTATATTCAAACGCATTATTGTGTTTTATTCTCAGTTTTAATTTTATAATAATATTTTAACGAAAATTAATACAATTACCAATACACCAATAAAAATAAATAATATTAAATATTTTTATAATATATAATATAAAAATAATTTTACATATTTTTTTAGATTATATTGTAAGTTTTTATGGACTTCAATTTACTTTATATTTGTATTTAATTCATAACATTCATAGAAGTCCATTTTTTTATATCATACAAAGAAAGAGTTTAATATTATATATTATAATCATAAAAATACACAGATTAATTGTTTATTTGATTTATAATAGTATTTATAATATATTTAATTTAATTATATTAAAAATATATGTATATATATATATGCTCGATAAATAACTAGAAATATATCATGTTAGTAAAAATATTTATATTTATAATTATTTTTTATAATTTTTGTCTTATATTATTACAAGAAAAATTGTAATATACATTTAAATTGCAACTACTTTATAAATGATAGAATTTAACTTTACAACGTTATAAAAATTAATATTGATATTAAAAAACAATGCTGTGTTTTAATTTCATTTAAATAATTATATGATCTTTAATAAAATTCTGTTAACGAAAAAATAAGTATAACTGGAATATTTAAAAAACACAATCGAATATTTATCATACTTTAAGGATTCCTTCTTAATTATTTCGAATTAAATTAAATATATATATTTATACATACAAATTTATCAAAAAAATATTTAAATAAAATATAACTATTAGGAGAAAAAATATAATAATAATTGCTTATTTATTTCATTATAACGAGTATTTAATAAAATAACTTTTTTAAAATTTAAACTTAGAATAAAAATTTAAATATGGTCTTTGTTATCCAAAAATTTGTTATCATATATAAATTATTGTTATAATAATAATAATATTACAAATTCATTTCAAGATAAAAATAAACATTATTTTTTTTTCTTTTTTTTCATTTGTTTTATTTTCAAGTTTTTAATTAAGTCTAAATTTCTATTTATTTAATTATCTTATATTCTAATTATTAAAATTTATTAAGTGATATTATGTTTTCAAGATAATGTAATTCCAAATAAATAAAAGATTAAAATTAAAAGTAAAATGAAATAACAAGATTTTATTAGAAATTTGATCGGGTGCCAAAACGACCATTTCGCGATTTCAGGTACGGTACTGTGGGAGGTTGCTGCCCGGCCGGCATCGCCATTTTGGCATTCGTAACCGGAAAGTGTGTGTGCGCGTGCGAGGCCACGGTGCAGCTGGCGACCTTTATCTTTACATTTTACCGTCTCTCCGCATAGAACCTTTCTTTGAAATCAAGAAAGAACTGCTTTACCTTGTAACCGAACACGCTTCATTCTTGCATTGCTATTCTTTCCCCGCAACATTAAAGCGCTTGTTCACATTTGACAGAAATTTTGTCATTTGCGAATTATACATTTTCAAAATTTTTAATTTTGTTCATAATTCAAGATGGTTATTTGCAAGTATAGTAAAATCATGATTAATACAAATTATACAAATAATCTTAAAATTAAATAATATGTTATCAATTGATTAATAAAAATAAAAAAAAAAAGAATTCTTAAAAAAAAGATTTTATAATAGCGTTTATAATATATCTATCAAAATTCAAATAAACATTCAAGGAAAACTTTAATTATAAATTCCCTATATCTGTATCCACTTATTCAAACTTTCTCAATATTCTTAACTGACCTCTATCATTTCATTTCACTAACACGACTAATTCAAGGCTCTTAAATTTTACCGACATGATCATAAAAGCTTTTTTAAATGTAATGCAGATGGCGCATCGATCAGAATCAACTTTTCTAGAACTGTCCCTGATCCTTTTTTCTAATATTATAAATTTAGAATTTTAATGAGGAAAAAAATATAAAATATCAAAAACTTGATTATTTAAATAAATTTAATTGTTAAATATACTTAAATAATTAAAATAAAAAATAATTAAAAAATAATACTTGAAAATTTAAATTATATAAAATACAAATTTTCATACGACGTATGTCAATATGCGTAATAAAATCTTTATTTCATTTTTTACTTATTCAACAAATATTTTAAGGATAGGAAAAAAGAAAAGAAAGAAGATTGATGCATTGAACATACACGTAGGCGTTTCTACGTATATATATATATATATATATACGTATATATATATATATAGTCTTTTGATAACAGAGAATCGTTTCCGAAATGAGTCATGCTTTGTAACAAATATCAATGTTCAAATTTTCGTTAGTTCTCAGATATTCGCTACTGTGCATTATAACTAATGAAAAAATTTTAAGCATGAATCAGTTTCAACAAAAAATAGAAGCCACCACTGAGAATAAGAGCCACCATTTCTATGGGCGGCAGTGGCAACGTGCCCGGCAGGCAGCCATGTTAAACGTAGTCGAAAACCATTCAAGTTCGACCAGGCAAAATTTTCTGTAGTAAAAATTGCCACACCCTAACTTGTCAGATTCCTTTTTTAAATATATCAAGTGAATTTTTTTTTCAAAATTTTTAGACAAATATATCCATTTACTTATTCTATTACTAATTTTTTCAATCGATTCAGTAATATTACCATCTACGATGGCCGGCTCTTTGCTGCAGACATATTTGGGCGGTGGACAAAATTCTGGAGATGTTCAAAAATGTCAATTATTGCAGATTATATAATGATAAATTTCAACTATATCCCACAACTTAATTTGGACTATTAAACGATCTAACCGGCGTCGCTAACACGAGGGAACAATCATGCCGGGTCAACACGCGGAACTTAAACGATTTTTGCTATTTATTAAACACATGAGAATGTGTATTTCTTTGTTTTGGAAGAACTAATTGTCTTAATGATTACGCAGTATTATTATTTATGATAAAATTACTATTATATATATTCTATATATATGTGTATATATATATATATATATTCATATATATATATATATATATGTTATTTTGCAAAATTCACTTCAGTTCCAATAAAATATATTAAAACTTGTACGTACTTAACCAACACGCATAAAATTCTATTACGAATAAATACATACATTACATATTAATATATCATATACTAGATATATCCAATTCTACGCGATTGGAGTCTGAATAAATAGAAAATATTCGATACTTGTTGTGAATAATACTTAAAGGAAAATCAAAAGAAATAAAAAATACCAAATACAAGCTACTGCTATTATATATCTAAATTTCTTCAAGATATATTCAGTGCGTACTTTCCCTCTTGTCGCCTAGCTAATAATAAGCTTGCGAGACATTAGTCGAATAATATACTCACTTCGAAGCCTTCAGACTTTGCCCAAAGATTGCCATCGTGTCCTGCAATCGCAGCTTTGGTAACACACCGAGACGCGAGCAGCTGCTTGTCAACGTAATCCTGCCAGCTCATTTTTTAACACAAGCGGCTCAATTCAATCGTTCACCACGCCACTAAAGACACTACCCGTCACCGACTGACTCTTCTCACGACTACCTATATGCGCTGAACGCCGGCCACACTTCTCTCTTGCCCCTCCTCTCGTCTCTTCGTGGTTTGTAGCGACCCCTCTTGGCCCCTCCAGACTCGCGGGTGCCGATGATCGTATTTCCCCCACTCTTGATGACCGGCCGGTAATTGACTACACAGTTATGCCAACTTATAGATTTTGCAATCAATATGTTAAAAACCAGAATGAGTTTTTTCTTATTTTGATGAAAATTATATATTATATTCATATCTTTTTTTCTCTTTTTAAATCTAACATTAAATGATACAATTTTTATTTAATATTTTTATTGTTTTATAAAAATTTTATTTTTTATTCCTTTATATCTTTATACGATATATATATATATATCGATTTCAAATGTTAATTTAACATATTTTTAATTTTTTTTATATTGAAATTAATACTTTTTAATTAATAAAACAATAATCAAAATGACTATTATTTAATTTATTAATAATATTCATTCGTTCTTTACCATTTTGTTTAATCATTTTTTTATTTTATACAGAACAAAGAACATTATAGCGACATCTTTCTTTAAAAATATATATACATAGGTTCATGATATATATATATATATATCATGTATACTTAATATATGCATATACAGTTTTACTTTGTAAAAAACATTATACACGTGTTTTGCTTATTTAATTTTTAATTAATTTTAAACATGATTAATTAATTTTAAATATGAATAATAAATTTGATAGATTTTAGCTATTAAATCTCTTTTCAAAATGCAAGTATCTTGTCCAAACAATGTAAAAATATATAACTTAAGTGCTGGGAAATCTCTTCCAGAGGTAAATCTTTTTATTTTCATTTTTTTAAATATATCATTATTATATATTAAATATAACTACATATTAATTTCTATCATTTCATCATTTAATTTTTTTCAGTGGTTATCTGAACGAAAAAGACGTGCTTTATTAAAGAAAAATATTGGTAAGTTTCATAAATATTTTATCAGGTATAATAAATAATATATAAATATATTATAAATATTTTATTAAATGTAATAAATATGATAATATGATAAAATATAATTATACATATAATCATAATATTATAATAGATATACGACGTCGAATTGAACTTATTCAAGATTTTGATATGCCTGGTATTAGTACTTCTATCAAAATTACAAATGATGGACAATATATTTTAGCAACAGGTATATATAAACCACGTGTTAAATGCTTTGATGTAAAGAATCTATCTTTAAAGTTTGAAAGATGTTTTGATTCGGAAGCTATTGCTTTTGAAATATTATCAGATGATTATAGTAAAGTATGTATTTACATTATATATATATTATATATAGTATTATATTTTCATAATTAAATATAATATTATTTTTTTATTTTTAGTTAATATTTTTATGTTGCGATAGAAGCATTCAATTTCATGTTGCTCATGGAAAATATTACATACTTAGAGTACCTCGTTTTGGAAGAGATATGAAATATCATTATCCATCTTGTGATATTTTTGTTGTAGGAGATAGGTTTGGTGCATAATATTTTGAGTTATAATTTTTAATTAAAATTGTAATTATTGAAAATATATTTCATTAATTTGCAATATGTATATGTTACAGTAACGAAATTTACAGAATAAATCTTGAAAGAGGACAATTTTTACAATCTTTTTTAACAGAGGCATCATCATTAAATAAATGTGAAATAAATCCTATACATCATCTTCTTGTTATTGGAACAGAAGATGGAACAATAGAAGCATGGGATCCTCGTGCTAGAAATAAAGTTGGTATTTTGGATTGTGCTTTGCATTGCATTAATCAAGATAATAAGTAAGATATATATTATATCAATAATTTTATAGTATTTTTAAATATAGTTTTTATAACAATATTTGTTTTATAATAACAAAATTTTTATTCTATTATTATTTAGATTAGAAAAAATTCCTGCAATTACTAGTTTAAAATTTCAAGGAAGTTTAACATTTGGAGTGGGCACATCAACTGGACAAGTATTATTATATGACATTCGTTCAAACAAACCATTTTTAGTAAAAGATCATATGTATGGTTTACCTATTAAAAATATTGAATTCCATAAGAAAATGGATATAGTTTATTCTATGGATAGTTCCATAGTAAAAATGTGGGAAAAAAATAGTGTAAATAAAATTTGTGATTTAATGTGTGATAAAGAAAACAATACATAACAATAGTATTTATTTTTAAATATTAAAATAATATTTTAGGGTAAATTATATACATCTATAGAAGCACAACATGATTTTAATGATATGTGTATTATACCAAATACAGGAATGCTTTTAATTGCTAATGAACATACAAAAATACAAACATTCTATGTTCCATCTCTTGGTCCAGCTCCCTCATGGTGTAGTTTTCTGGATAATCTTACAGAAGAACTAGAAGAATTAAATTATGAAATAATCTATGATGATTATAAATTTATAACTGAGAAAGATTTGGATGAATTAGGTCTTTCACATTTAAAAGGCACCAATCTTCTTAGAGCTTACATGCATGGTTATTTTATAGATATGCGATTATATAGAAAAGCAAGAGACGTAATGAAACCATTTGAATTTGAACAATATAAAAAGAAGAAAATACAACAAAAAATAGAAGAAACTTGCAGTAGTAGAGTACAGGTATTGAATACTTTATTACTTTATAATATAATTTATGTGATATTTTTAATATACATTTATATTAAATATATTATATTATTTATAGATTCAAAAAATACCAATTGTAAATAAAGAACTTGCATTAAAATTAATGGATAATGAAACAAATGAGAAAAAAAAAAGAAAAAGTTCTTCTAATCTTCTAACAGATGAACGTTTTAAAGAATTGTTTATTAATCCAGATTTTCAAGTAGATAAAACTTCAGAAGAGTACTTATTATTAAATCCTGTCATTTCACAACTCAGTAAGAGTAAAGCAAAGAAGCTAAAGGCCAAAGAAGCTGAAAAAGAAATAGAAGAAAGAATAGAAATTGATGATGTGGAAAACGAACACTATGGTTATATGAATATAGATATATTTATTATATATATATATATATATTACATATTGTTCCGTTTTTTAAATTTAAATTATTTATTTTTGAAAATCTACAAGATTGAATAATACTAAAAATATTTTAAATAGAAAGAATAGAATAGAATAATTTCAAAGAATAATGATTAACTCTTTTTTATTTTAGAGAACAATATTTTTTATTTTATTTTAAAGAACTATAATCTATATTTGCATATCGATTAATATAAGAAATTATATGATATTATTTGAAAAAACAATTAATCTTTATATATTCTCTATGTTTAATATAAAATTATATTAAATGTATACTATTTGAAATCATTTAATTTTCACTTGAAACAATATATTAGCAACTTTGATAGATATGAAATCTAGATTAAATATTAGAAAACTGATTTGAATGAAATAGAAATAACATTTAATTAATTTAATAAAAAAATTTATATTTTTAGATAATAGTTCAGATGAAAGTTTTATCCATGATGATAGTAGTTCAGAAGATGAAAAATTATGGGTTAAAGAAGTGAAAAATCAATACCGATTGATAAAGAAGAATGAAAAACGAATACAAGAAAATAATGATGAATATGTTGAGAATGAACCTCAACTTTATGAAATTAAAGAAAATGTAGAATTCAAAGATGCAAAACCTATAGCAAAAAAGCAAAACAAGTATGTATATTTATTATTTATTATATATATGTATATATGTGATTAAAAATAAATAAATATCTAACATAATCTAATATCTAAATATCTAATATAAACTTCTGAATTTTTTTTATTATTGTTATCATTATTATTCTTTTTTTAGGACTACTTTAGGAGAAAGATTGAAAAATCATGAAAATAATGATATTAAAATTTCTGCTTCTCGTGGAAACAGAGAAATAACTTTTATTAGTGAAAAGGTATATATACATGTACACATACTTTGAAAACATATATATATATCTATTTTTATATCTGTGTTTATTTATAGAATAAACAAACAAAACGAAGAAAGTTACATGTGGAGAGGCATGGAGAAGGATATAAACATCTATTAAGACCAGCAGGAATTTTGAAAAGGATGAAACGTTAATATTTATTGTAATTATTTTATTAAATATTAAATAATTATTTTTTTTTAAATAAAAATATCTTTATCTTATTATCATTGTTATTTTGAAGAACAACTCTTATATTCCTTAGTGTCATCCTGTACTAGAAGTTAGTTATAGATTGAATAAAATAATTTATTTTGACGCGATGTATGTAGATATCTTGACAGAGGTGAAGTGTCATCTCAAAAGAGTGATATAATGAAATTCTTACATTAGGGTGAATCATACGAAATAGTGATACAAATGTTTTCTTTTCAAGTTCAAAAGTATCGTATCCGTTTGTCAAGAAAAATGACATTAGTAAGTTTTATATCATATTTAATTTAATTCTTTTTTTTTATTAATTACATATATAGATTATCACATAATATGATAAATATAATATGATATCCCGATTTTATCGTATGTACTATTAAATTTTAATTTATAAAATTAACACTTAATTTGTTTAAAGAGTTTAAATTAATTTATATTTATTTAAAGAGAAATCCAAAATGATTATTTTTATTTATTATAATTTATTATATAATAAGTATTGCTTATTTTAATTTGTCTACATTTACATTTAAATCGTTAATTCTCTAAATCTATCTATAATTTAATTATTTATTTTATTTCCAATTTTAATAGATTATAAAATCTACATTTAAAAAAAATATAATTATGTTGTTATTTTAAACTTTTTTTTTTCTAATAATTATAAATGATTTAATAATTTTCTAATATTGTAAAATCAAATATATTAAAATCAAAGCAAATATATATATTAAATATATTAAAATAACAAAATTATTTTGTGTTTTAATTATATTCTAATTGTTATTCTTTATAGGCAAGTTCACATAATGAATCAAAGAATGGAAAAGATCCTCCTCAACAAAATCATGAAGAAACAGTGCAAGAATCTACACCATCTGGATTATCAGATTTACAAATGCAAAGTACAGAAGTAAGATTTAATACTTCTCACTTTAGTATATAAATATATATAAATATAAATATATAAATATGTATATAAGTTATAATTTTTATCTCTTAATAGGTTGGTGAAATCACAGAAATGCCAAATTTTGAAATATTAAACACATCTGCAGTACTTCATTATTGTAAACACAAAATATTAAAACCATATTTGACATTATTAGGAATAATGGGTTTAAAACCAATGAGTAGTGATGATTCACAACGATGCTCTTGTTATTGTATTTTTGCAAATCTTCATACTTTGCAGGTCACAATATTTATGTGCATTGGATATATTTTACAATATATGGCATGTTTTAGGTAATAATATCTAATATAGTATTTTTAATATGATTTTTATTAAGTATTTAAGTAATTAATTTTTCAGGAGAGATAGAGGCTTTTGTTATAAAACAATGCCTTTGAAATTTCAAATGACATCCATCAATAAGCAACATTCAGAAAAAGTTATTTGCTATGGAAATGTTATATTTAGTTATCTAGTTCCCAGTATTTTACATTTAATTGCATACTTATATACTATATATCTATTTCGAATTAAAGAAAATGAACAATTACAAAATTTAATGGAAAGAGCATTTCTTTTATCATCTAATCCTGCAAATCGTGGAAATCAGAGAAAACTTGTATGGATACTGTGGTTATTTATAGCATTGAGTCTTGTATGGATAATTATGGCATTAATTACAGTAAATGTCTTAATAGCCCAAGAAAGCATTATATTTCAATGGTTAGAATACAGGTAATTTTCTATATAAAATTTTTGCTTAATAAAATATAATAATTAAAATTTATTTTTTTTTCATTTTTAAACTATATTTAATTTCATATTTTGAAACATTTCATTTAAAGTAATTATTTTCATATTGTTAAAATTATTTATATTTCTTCCAAATTTATTTTATGGGTAGTCCAAATCAAGTAAAAATAATATTGAAGATACTTTTAATTGTCTGTACATTATGGCATGATATGGTTCAAGGAACAATTATTACAAGCTATTGTTTGCAAGGGCAACTTTTACTAGCACATTTATATTTTCTTCGTGGAAAATTACTTTATCATACTTTATCTCCTATTGATTGGATGAGGGTTTGTATATCTACCTTTATAAATAATTATTTTAGTTTATAATTGATAAAAAAAAAATAAATTAAAATTAAAAAATTAAAAACAAAGAGAAGAATAAGAAAAAGAAGAATACAATTCAGGTCTGCATTTACTTTACAGGAAATTAGTGAATTTAAAAAATTATTGAAATATTTCAATGATGAATTAGGATTAGCAGTATGTATTTATACAATTGTAAATTTATCATGGGCAGCCACTAGTATTGTTTGGTTGCTTCAGTATGATAATAGCGATATGCCAAATAATCATGTCACTTGGATTGGTATAATAAATGTAATTCTTTGGATTTTAATATCAATAGCTCCCTTTATTCAGGTATGTTTATCTGTAAAAAATACGATCAAAATAAATACTTGATATTATTCAAAAATTCGAAAATTCAAAATAAAGAAAAAATATTTGAACTTCTTTTATTTTTTTAATAGGCAGCTCGTTTAACTGCTGCTTGTTCTATGATTCAAAGTATCGGACACGAAGTACGAATTAGACCATTCGTATATCAAAGCACTCCGGGTGAAGACCTTGATACTATACTTTTGTATACATCGTCATTGAAAATGTGCGCCAAACTCTTCAGAGTACCAATTACGGGTAGATACCTTTGTCTTCTCCTAACTATAGGCAGTATCTTGATCCTTACATTAGGACAATGTCAATTTTTTTAATTATTTTTTATATTTTGATAAATCTAATTATACCAAATATTTTTTTGCATATTTTTCATTTTATATATATATATATATGTAATTGATATTTTAAATCAGAGTAACATTTATATCTTCATTATCTAGAAATTTCAAAATTATAATTCATATTAAAATTAATTTAAATTAATCATTATTTACATTCAAAGAGAAAACTTATATTAAAAGAAAAGTTAACATTGAATTATTAACTTTTTATTAAATTCTACATATAATTGAATATGTATATTTATTATAATAAATATATCTAATTTATTTTCAATCTTTTTTGATTTTATTTTTATTTAATAAATATTATCATTAAATTAATGTATATCATATCTTTTTTGTTTTTGTTAATGAGCATTAAGCCAATAGTATATTTGTATGAAATCAATTGTCATTGGTTAATACATTGAGAATTTGCTAAGTATTATCGTGCTGTTGCGTCTGATAAAACTAATAAGGAAAAATTTGTTTCCGAAATTTTTTCATTTCGTATATGTAAATTTATTTCAGTTTATTATATATAAAAATCATGGATTTACTAGGATCTATTCTTAATTCAATGGATAAACCTCCTACAATTAGTGACAGACAAAAGGCTTTAATGAAAAGTTAGTTAAAATAATTAACCTATATTATAATTGATCAATTAATTATTTTGATATTTATAAAATAATTTTTATTACATAGAGCAAAAAGAAGAGTATCAAAAGCATCAAAAAGCAGAAGCTGAAAGATTAAAAGTTTTCCGAGAAAAGGTTTAAATTTTGCGTCTTAATTTCTATTAAATGAGGTTATACGTGTACTATTTCTTTTATGTTGATTCAGGTAGAAGAGAAAATTAATAAATTTCTTCAAGATGACAATGCAAAGGAATACAAATTTCCACCAATGGATCAAATTTATAGGAGTATAATGTATATAAAAAAAACAATCATTTCAGTTATCAATAATATAATATCTTGATGTTTTATTATATTATAGACATGATGTTGCTGAAGTAGCAAATATATGGGCATATTCATTTGGTGAAGAAGGCATTGACCGTCATATTGTGATTTTTAAAAGGGAACATGCTCCATCTGAAGATCAGTTAAATGCACTTCGTAGAGGAGAAGAATGGAACGAAGAAATAGCAAAAAGATTAATAGAGGAGAGAGAAAGGCGAGCCAAAGAAGAGGAGGAGGCTGCTACTAAACCCAAAAAACGAAAAGATAATTTTGTACCAAATAGTTATTATAAAGATAAATATCAACATTTAATTGGAAAGGAAGCTGCTCTAGAAGCAGCTAGAAAAACAGAAGCTAATAGTAGTTATGGTTGTGGTAAATAAACAATTGTTATTAGATATATATATATATATCTCTGTTAAATATATTTAGTTATTAATTAAAATTTATTCTAGTTCCTAGTGAAAATAAAAAAGATCAAAGAAGTATAGAACAAACATTAGCAGATATACGAGCTAAGAAAAGAAAATTGGAAATGAGTATCAAGGAGTCAAATCATCAAGATGAAAGTACAAAATAAAATAAATAATGTCCAAAATTATGTAAAATATTTAACTTATTTAATTTCTAACTTGTAAATATTTCAGATTAATGATATGACATAAAATTAAATGTTTAAATGCAAAATTATTCATATTTTACTGATTATAACACATGAACTTATTTATTTTATGTATGTATTAATATTATGTGCCTGTGATAGAAACAGAAAAATATTGAAATGCAATATATGTATTTATTAAAAAATTCAAATTAACTTATATATATACAGTATAATACAAATAGCACATTGTGAAACATTCTATTACTTCCTTTGCAAACAGTTTTTTATATTTCTATGTATGTGTATATTTATATTTTGTTTTAAATATTTATTTTAATATAAATTTTAAATATATTCTGTGGTAGAATACTTAGGTACAGAAGTCCTAGGAGCAGGTTTTGGTTTACTTGGAGACGAATCAAATACAATTTGCTCTTTTAAAGCTAACAATTTCTTAAAAACTTGATTTGTTGTTGATTTATACAATTCTAATCCCCGCATAATTAAAATATCTCGGATATATGAAGCATTATCATGCACCAATTGTTTCTAAAGAAACATTAAAGAAATAAATATTTATTTAAATATGGTTATGAAAAAACATAATATAAAAAAAAAGGCAATTAATTACCTCTTGCTTTAATCTTGGATTTGTAAGTGATACTATTATATGTTGCACTTGAATTCGCATAACTGATATTAAAACTGAATCTATTATTGCCATTAATTCAGGTGTAGCAACGCTAAGACAATCTTCTAGTAGACTTACATAAATTTTTGAAAAAGTTAAAGTATTATCAGTTAATGCAATCCAACAATCATTTGTTATATAAGATGATGGAACAGTTATTCCAAAATCATCAAATTCTAATAGAAATTTTTGAATATTTTTGTAACTTTCTAAATTAGTTGGCCGCCACGTATCTTTTGCTATATATTCTTTCACAGTATCAATGTATTTTTCACCCGTATCTTGTATAGCTTTTGCTAATGGGGATCTGAGTTGACCATCCAATTGATAACGAAAATCCATTCCTAATTGCATTAACTATAAGATAAAATGTATAATACAGATATACAAAATTATATTTTTTGAAAATATATTATTATGATTTATAAAAAATTGTTATTTTAATAATAATATATATAAAATAAAAATTAATATTAATGCCGTATCATTACCGTACCTGATCGCAGTGACTTCGAACACAAACAATACATTCTACTAAAGTGCTTAGAGACACTTGTGGAATAAAAAGTTGCTTAGTTAAATGTGTTGTTAAATATTTTACTTCTTGACTACACCAAAGTACCAAACCTAATTATATATATAAAATGGAGAAAATTAAAAAAAACGATTTGATTTCAAATCATAACATTCATTCATGATTTTTTTATTTGTAACTTACCAGATGAACAATTTGTTGACTGTGGGAAAAGTTTTAAGAATTCTTTTGTGATTTCAACGATATTACTAAAAGCAATTGCACTAAGTTGCTTTACATAAGGTGCAATAGTTCCTTCTTTTTTAACTCGTTTTAAACGTGCTTTTAACATAGCACTACATAGCCGCAAATATAATTGACAGGCTTGAGCATTTCTATTTAATTGTATCAATAGTTTTACTACGCGACGCGCACTTCTTAAACCACCACCTTGCAAAGATTTCGCTTCTGCACTTAATTCAAGTTCTTTTGTTAAAACTTCAATTAATGATTTTCCTCTATCATTTACCTTTAACTGGATTTCTAATAAAAGTGGTGTTATTTGTACATCTTTTAAATAAGTTTTTGCTTTTTCTAAAAGACTATAAGCTTCCTCAAAATGACGTTGTGCTATGCAAGAATCTAAATCTTCTGCCACTTCTAATATCCATTCTGGTGGTGGTTCATGATATTCTGTATCTTCATCATCTATACCTATAAAAGAATAACTAAGAAAATGAATGAAATTTAATTTAATTTAATTATACAAATTTTATTGAATTATCGTTCATACCGAGAGTGTTCGAATCGAGTGACATCGATCGAGAAGGCATCGTTATTTTCTCTTCTTTTGAACATTTATTATTTTCGGATGTCTTATTTGGATTATCTTCAATCAATTTCATTCTTTTTGCTTGTTCACATTTATCTAACCATTCTTTCTAAAAAATATATTATAATTTATATCTTTTCATAATCAATTTTTTTCAAAATATTTTTTATGAATATTATTTATTTTGAATATACTAACTTTACTTGTTGCAGTTGCACATTGAAATACCCTAGTATCAGAGAATGCTAAAAGTTTGAATGCTAATTTTACTGTTCCAAGATCTCTGACATTAACAATTGCCAAACTTTCAAGATTATAAACAGCTTGCATTTTATATTTTGGTGGTCCTCTTCTATTTCCATTTGCTAACCAAGAAGCAATCATTAGAATATCAGTAAATAAATATGCATGAACTCTTTTTAATGGAGTCCCCTCTAATGGATCTAATTCTAACAAAGATCCTTCATGTAAACATATACGACCAGGTATTTCTGCTAAACTCTATGAAATTAAAAGACAATTATTATGAATATTTTTCATTTATTATTATTGATTTACAAATCTAGAAAAATGACAATTTAATAACTTACCATAGCACCTTCTACATTTTCAAGTAATTGCATTAATTTTTGTTTTTGTTCTTCTTCTTTAGTAGTAGAATTATTAATATTTTCTAATTGGGATTCAGATAAATCTTCAAAAGTAACACCAGTAGTTCTGGTAGATCCTAATGTACTTAACAATGAACGTTGTTCACTGAGTAATTGAGATAACTGGTACATTTCACTTTCTAAATGTGAAATTTCCTTGGCAGTTTCTATAAATTGCATATAGTTTTGATAAACATTACGTTTTAATTGTGCAGAAGTATTATTTGCAAGTTCTTGAATTTTAGCTCTTTGTTGTCTTAATTCATCTGCTCCAACACATTGTGCGCTAAGTTCTTTTACAACTATAAGCAAAACAAATGTTATTTTATGTTTTATAAATTCTAAAGTTTTATAAACAAAAATTTATAAGTATTTACCTACATTTTTCAGGATTAAAATCTTCAGTTGCAAAAACTTTTGCTAAACTGTTAGCCATTATAAAAATATTTGCTATGACCTAAATAAATTCATTTATATATTAATAAAAAAGATTAAATCAATTCTTTATTATGTTCAATTTCCTTTTATAAGCAATATTCGTATAAATATTTATTAATTGTAATCATTCAAATACGTTTATTCTAATGCAATCATATGCATATAATGAATTTGATATATCTCACAAATGACAACAAAAATATTATTCTTAATGTCATGTAGTATATAGTCTTGAAACTTTGTATAGTAACAATTACTAGATGAAAAAATATATCGATGATATTATAGAATGAAAATTTCAAATTGTTATATTTTATTTATTATAGTTTCTTCCGTAATTATATTAATCATATAAATTTTTTTTAAAATATTCTATAATATTTAATGTAAATAATATAATATTTCTAAAAAAATTTCATTTTGAGAATTTCTAAATATAATAAATTTTATTTTTTTTTTTTAATGATAATTTCTTTTAATAACTTCCTTTTATATTTAATATTATTGATTTAATATAAAAATTTATATTTGTTTATGAAAAGAGATATAATAGATCGCATAATTATTAGTCTTATTTTATGAAAAAATATAATTAAAAGAAAAGATATATATAATTTTAATTTATTTTATTAAAATAATATATACGTTGAATATTTCTTATAACAATATATTATTATAATAATTATTATTTTGAGCTTTAATATCAAAGTTGTATAACCTATATATGTATTATTTATGTCGAAAACATAAATAATTTAATCTAAACAATTTTTACGGATAAATAATTAAAAGAAAGGTATGTACTTAATAAATTTTGTTTATAAAAATTGTTTTTAATTTTAATAATCAAAATATTTATTATATAAATATTTTAGAGAATGAAATATTATTGGAAGCAATGAATATACAAAAAATGATACCAATTAATTCTAAAGATTCAGACGTGAAAGACAGCGATAGCAGAGGCACAATTAAAGTTATAGATCGCCCAACATTTATACTGAAAACCAGAGAAGGTGAAAACAGAGCTGTGTCTCCAAATCAACGTAATGGTGGTAACAAGTACTTACAAATAATTTCTTGCATAAAAAAAATTTAAACTATATTTGAACTTTTAAATTATAATATCATTAAATTACAGAAAAGAAGGTGATGCATCTTCCAATGTTTCATCAAAAATACAAGATCGTGAGTATTTTCTTTTTATTTTAAATTTTAAATATCAATTTTTAATACAATGATATTAATAGATTTATAATTTGTAGCTATTCGTACTGTATTACCAACTTGTCTTGAAATGACAAGTTGTGTAAAATTTATGGATGAAAATATGCAACTTTGTGAATATCCTCTTGAATTCTTGTATGATCAACAAGATTTTTTAGTTGTAGGATGTTTAGGAGCTCAAGGTGTAGGAAAATCAACTATAATGTCTCTTTTAACATGTAACATTGCGTCAGTATTATTTCAAAAACTTTAAGCAAATATTATATTTTTAAAGAAAATCATTTCTGTTTCATTTTTTTATTATTATAGGACTGGTATTTTTCCAATTCAAGATACATCACATCATGAAAGTGGTGCAAATTGTACTATTGGTATTGACTTTTTTGTAACAAAAAATCGGGTAATATATTTAGATACACAACCTATATTGTCTGGATCTACAATAGATTATTCAACAAGTTATGATCAAAAAAAGCCTACAACAGATTTTATAAATATAGAAACTAATTTAGAGTTACAATCTTCACAGTTTGCAGCATTTCTTTTTTCAGTTTGTCATGTTATTATATTTGTACAAGATTGGTTCGTAGATCCAAATTTAGTTAGGTATAATGAGCATAATTTTATAATAATACTTTGTTATAAATTTTTGTGAGAATTAAAACTTATTATATTTCATAGATTTTTACAAACTGCAGAAATGTTAAAACCATCTTCAACTAGTAATATGGACCAAGATTATGTTGAATATTATCCACACATTGTATTTTTACATAATAAAGCTGAATTACAAGATTTCACTCCTCATAATATAGAAAAAGTAAAGGTAATATATAATACATATAGTTTTAATATGTTTTTAAAACATGTAGTTTTTATATTAAAAATAATAATAAATGATTAATTTGAAAAGTTACACTGATGTTTATTTATTTATACTTGCAGGAATTTTATACTAAATTATTCTCCAGTTCTAGATTACAAATTCATAGTGGTTTGGATATGAGTAATCATTCTATGGAGGCAGGATTAAATTTGTTTTTTATACCTCGTATTACAAATGAAGGTACAGTATTTCATTATTCTATTTATTTTACTTTCACTCAAACATTGAAAATGTTTTAAAGCTTGTCTTGATTAAATTTTTTTTTTTAATTGTAGAAGAATTTACAATGCGTCAAAACGGGAAAAAACTAATAGAAAAGCTAAAAACAAAAATACATGGTGTTAACAGAAATTCAATGACACCATCTACTTTAACAGAAAAAAATTGGTAAGTGCAATAAATTAAAAAAATTAATTTTTCTTCATTGTATGTTATAATGATATAACATACAATCATAATAATCGCTTTATAATTGAATTATCTAGGTACCATTACGTTTCAAAAGTAATGGAAGCGATTAAAAAAAGTCATCTTTCTTCTGAGTATGGAAGATTAATGCCATAATTTCTAATAATAATATATATGTATTATACACTATTTCTGCAAAAAAATATACGTACATTATGTATCAAATAATTTTAGGTATTCTATATAAAAAAATCATAATGTTTTGTTACTTATTTAAATTCACAATAAGATTTTAAAATCATAGAAATATGAAAGCTGGCATTTTTGAAAGTTATGTATATGTTATGTATAAGTAATAATATGTAATGAATAAATCAAAGAAAAATTAAAGTGATATATTGTTGCAATTATTTTAAATTTGCTAAAATGAAAACAATTATCTCTTATTTGTTGTCAATGAATCGATTAAATACATCAATACAAAATTATAAACTTTTACGAGTAATCTTCTTGTTCACTATCGACTTGTTGCATTGAAGCCATTTGTGCAACTGCTTGTAATTGTTGCCATTGCTGTTGTTCTGCTACTGCTTGTTCTTCTCTTGCCTTTGCAAATAATTCTTGCTGCTGTCTAAGAAGTTCTTCTTCTGGAATTCCCAAATTTTCTAATCTAGTGCTTTGACGTCTTCGTTTAGCTGCGACAGCCTTGCAATCTCGCAAAACTGCCTCCGCTTCAGCACTATAATCTCCAAATCCAAGTTTTTCGAGTGCTTGAAGAACATGTTCAGCATTTATAGTTTTCTTCTGTTGTTGATTACAAATTTCATTTGCTTCAGAAGAAAGTAAGTGAATAAATTCTGTACAACAATTTAATATTAATTCTCGGGATTCATTCGCTACACGTACATGTGGTAAAATTTCCTTGATCATTTTATTGATCGATGCACGAGGTAAAGTTAATTCATCGTCTTCGGTTGGTGATATAGTAGCCGAGGCCATATTTTTCTGCAATATTCAAAAAAAATTATTTATTTATTTAATTATTATTTATTTTATTTATTTTTTTGATAAAAAATTTATAAGCTATTAATTATTTTTAATTCTTATTATTTTTTTTGATTTCTTTAATTTTTATCGAATTATTCAATTTATCATAATTATATTATATTATATATTATACAATATATTAACTATTTATTATATTAACTATTATTGTAATTCATAAAAAAAAGAAAAAAAAATTTACATATTTCAACTCAATTCAAAATTCTATTTTTTTCTTTCATATTTTGATATATTTTTGAAAATTTATTTTTTTCAATATATATTTTAAATAATTCGAACTGTTAATATATACATATCTCTAATTTTAAATATTAAAAGCTTATCATTTTATCATATACTTGAAAATTTTATATACTCTTTCTAAGAAAAATATTATCAGATAAAGAGTTTACGGATAATATATGTTTGTTTCGTTTTGTAAAAATAGCGAAAATTTTATATATTATTTTATATCATTTGATTTTATGATTGAATATAGAGCAATAGTGTAATTATTTATTATCAAATCTGTTATAATTAGAAAATGAAATGTTAGTAAGAATTCAATTTATATTGATATATGGTATACTCATTTTGTTCTACTTATGTGATGGAAAATATGTAACAAGCACGAGCGAATATGTTGGTACTGTGCGGAATTTAAGCGTGGAAGTTTTAAAAGATCCAAAATATATAGAAAAACGAGATGCATATAAATTTTTAAAATTGAATATATCTTGGTTACCACCAAGTACTTTTAGGCAACCTTCTTCTTATAGGTAAATATTCATTAATGAATATAAGAGAAAATTTAATCAATTTATTGCTAATTTATTTTGTACTATATTTGTATATGATAGTATTATAATCACAGGCATACCATCAATAGAAGAAAAAACAAGCATCATAAAATGTTCAGAAGGATCACTTTTTTATATATTAAAACAAGAACAAGACAAAAAATTTAATGTATTATTACCTGAATACAGTAACTTAGATGATATACCAGATCTATATATAAAACCTGATTGTTCTTACAAAGTACAAGTTCTTGCTAATCCAAGAACAAAATATATGATAGATATTCCTGAAGTAAGTTACTGATACACAATGATAAATATGTATATATTATATTTATGTATATATTCTATAAAATTAATAAAAAATTTTTAAATTCTATAGGTTTTATATACAGTTCCTAAATGCATAAATAATTCATGTAATTGTATCAATGCTAAAAAAACACTACCAATTCCAAAAGTAAATATATCTCAAAGAGGAAATCAAATGGTTATAAATTGGAGTACAACTTTTAATACATCCAATATTCAATTTTATATAATCAAGTATATTTAAAAGTTAAAAAAACTTTAAATATAATTGATATTTGATTTTATTCAACATTTATATATTATTTCATAGGATAGGTATTCCTCTTTTCATATCAAGGAAAGGGTTACCTGTTTATAATATAACAAAAATAGGACAGGTACCTGTAAATAAAACTATGTTTTTATATGATTTAAAAATTAACAATCAAAATATACAAGTTAAAAATGGTTATAAAATAATAGTTAGTGCTGTCAATAATTATGGATGTTTTGGACCAGAAGGAACTTTTATTATATATTTCATATCATCAAATATTAAAATTGTAAATTACAATCATAATTATTATATAATTCGTAATTATTAACAATATCGTAAATTATTAACAAAAATTATATAATATAAAATAATGTGTAATAATAAAATATTTTTCATTATTTTTTCAAATTATATTTTTCAGTGGTTTATATTGATTGGAGTAATAATCAGTTGTATTCTAATTGGAATTTTAAGTTTTATATTATATCATAATTATAATTTTTTTATGATGAAGCAAAAAGTATGTACAATTTCAAAATGCAAATGGACAGAAACAATACTTCAGCATAATATTTTGTATATCAAACATGAATCTAAAGTAAAAAGATAATTTTATGTGTATTATGAATAACTATTATATTATACAATTTATATTAATTAAAATGATTTTTAGGAAAAACATATAGAAGAGACAAATAAGTTAAAAGAATCATTTGAAAGTGTAAAATTAATACGTAAATTGGGTATTGGACAATTTGGAAAAGTATATCTTGGTCGTTTGAATGATAAAAATAATAGTTTAGTTGCAGTAAAAATGTCTCAACAAATAGATCTATCTATTGATTCTGAAACACGTCAACAATTTATTCAAGAAATTGAAATAATGATAATAGCTGGAAATCATCCTCATTTAGTAAGCCTCATAGGTTATTGCATTAAACCTAATAATCCTATATGCATTTTGCTTGAATATATGAAAGGTGGAGATTTATTAACTTACTTACATAATCAACAAAAAAGCAATCAACAAAATAAAAAAATCATTTATCATGATCAAAATATTTTACAAGATTTATGTGAAGCTTATGTTTCAAAAAGTAAATGATTTATTAAATTATAAATTTATTTACTATAAATTTAAAAATTTTAATATAATCTTAATTTTTAGCTTTATATACTAATATATGTTCCACTATATTAAACAAAACAAATAGTTATAGATCTAAACAATATGTAAATATTACTAAAAATTATAAAGAAAAAGCAAAAAATGAAAATGAAAGTTGGATTGGTAAAATGGAAGGACATCAATTTTTAAAATTTGCTAAGGAAATTGCTATGGGTATGGAACATTTGGAAGCTAAAGGAATTACTCATCGAGATCTTGCAGCAAGAAATATTCTCCTTACTGAAGATTTAACTGTGAAGGTAATCTAATACTTAATATTATATGAAATTTTTTTTTAAAGATGAAAAGTTTTAACAAAATCTAATAATAATATTTAGATTTCTGATTTTGGGCTTTCAAGAAATGGTGTATATGTAATAAAAAATACAGAAGAAAAAACACATCATCTTCCAATAAGATGGATGTCTCCTGAAGCTTTATATAATAGAGCTTTCTCTTCAAAAAGTGACGTATGGTCTTTTGGGATAGTACTTTGGGAAATTAGTACATTAGGTGGTTTTCCTTATTCTAATATACAAGATGATCATTTATTACATTATATTGTTCATAAAAATGGTCGTTTGGAACAACCAGATAATGTTCCTTCAAGTATTTATAAGTTAATGCATTCTTGTTGGACTACAGAACCTCAGAACAGACCAAATTTTACACAACTGCTTTCTAAATTACAAATTTTAATTGCATCTTTAGATAATACTTTTTTGACAATATCTAATCCTTGTTATGCATTATCACTTTCAGATAAAACTTTTATTCAAAATAATTTCGATTGCATTTATTCGTTAAAAAACATTTAAAAGAAGAGATTTATTTTAAAAAACAAAAAATATATGTTTAAATATAAAAAAGGTTAAGAAAAATCACATGGATATCAATGTAAATCGAATTTTCAAACAGGATATTAATAAATAAATATTTATGAATTTAAAAAAATGATTTCAATAATATATAAGATTTCGATAAAATAATATAAATTGTATTATTTGATATTGTCAAAATATTAAATTAAGTTACATACATACCAAGAGTAAAGAAATAAATCAAATATAATAAAAATAACTGCGTGGTTAAAAGATATATTTTTCACTGTTAATTAATATTTTGAGTTAGAAAAATAAAAAAAAAAAAAATATTTGATTCAATAAAAAATTATTTTTTTTATTAACTTTTCGTTTTATGAAAACAAACCTTCTAGTTAATATAATTCACAGATAAGTAATATTTATAGATAGTATGTGCCCTCTTCCGGACAAATTTATAAACAGTATATAAAGGAATTTTTATGAAAATGATCGTAAGAAAGATAAATTTGTGAAGAAAAGGAATAATTTTCAGTATATTTTATAATTTGTTCTATTTTTAAGTATATGACTGCGAATTAGTGTTCATTTATTACAAAGATGTGTTTATATTAAAATATGGCAATGCGAAATAAATTTTTTTTATTATATAAAATATTAACATAATTATATATAATTTCTGGTTGGTTAAGTTTTTTTGGTATTGTTTAATCATAAAATTTATATACACACATTATATACATTAATATAATTTGTATTTTTTTAGTGATGAATATTAATAAAACGAAATAAAGTGAATACAATATGAATGAAGAAATAATGGACACTATAGGTTACAATACGACTATAGATGGTAAGTTAATTTATTGGACTTCTATGTTTTTTTAATAATAACCTTTCTGTATTGTTAAAAAAATTTTGTTCTCGTTAATTGTATTAATTGAAGACTATTATATAATAATGTTATTATATTTTTCGACAATATAATAAGTTTAATATTTATTGCATTTTTTTTTATAAGTCTATATAAAATGGAATATATGGAATAAAATGGAAAATAGAATATATATGTATATGATTATGAAGTTTGATATTTATTAAAAACATTGAGTGATAATGATGTACTAAACACAATAATGAAACACTGAAATAATTTTAAGTTGCCCAATCAGGAAATTCAGATAAATTAAAGATGTAGGTGCCCCAAGTGGAAAATGCAAATATTGTTACAAGAAGCGTTATAATGCTAGGTCCTATTCCAGCAATTGCGAAATCTCTAGTTTTTATATGACCTGCTGTAATAGCAATTGTATTTGGTGGAGTGCCTACTGGTAGATGAAATGAAAAAGAACAACATAAAGAGGCTGGCAGCATCAAATATAGTGGATGTATTCGTAAAGCAATACACTGAAACAACATATAAATATATAATAAATTAGATGTAATTGAAAAATAAATTAATGACTAGAAAAAAGAAATTTATTAACTGAAATTTCTTACCATTTCTGCCAAAACAGGTAAAATAATATTTGCAATTGCAACATTAGATGTCAATTCTGTGATAGTTTCTGCAAATAGGCAGACAATAAATAATATCGCAAATGGATTTATTGATTTCAAAATAGTTAAAGCATTTCCTAAAATAGAAGAAAGGTTGGAAGTGGTACTTCCAGCTGAGATGGCAAATCCACCACCCAAAACTAAAATCAAACTCCAATGCATCTTCGTATTAATCATTTTCCAAGTAATCATGCCAGGCGATGGTTTGGTTGGACGATTAACAGGATCCGCGTCGAATGATCGAAGGAAATCCAATTTAGATGGTAATATGAAGAAAAGAAGAGTAACACCAGCGGCTGCCGTTGAATCTTTAACGTGTCTATAAAGAACTAGGTTGTTCGCGCATATGTCGTTGAAATACATTTTTATAATAAAATACTATTATGTAGCAAAAGGCTATAAGAATGATGAAAAGCAGACAAACAAAAGTATATAAAGATATAAAAAAAAGAAAGATTTAAAGAATAACAATAACAACAATAATTAAGAAAAAAAAAAAGCTATACATACAAATCGGTAATGTAAGTTGGCCAACCCTGTACAAATCCAGGATTTCGGAAGAACCATAGTAGTACAACTACAAGGAAGAGGAGACCAACAGAGAATTCGTGCCACGTAATCGGGCCGAGTTCTTTGTATCTTTTTTCGATTACAGTTGTTGCAACTTTTTCTCCCTGTTTGCCAATATTAATAGCTTTTGCATCTTTGCTTCCTGGTCTAAACATTCCCATGTACATAACTTGAAGCCAAAGCCACGTGAGGAATCCCATTAGAAGCATTGGTGGGACTGAATAAAGCATCCACGATGTTAGGCTAATGCCAGAACTGTTTGGGAACCGTCTGCGACATGAAGGAACGATTGTTTCTCTTGCTTTCTCATTGTACTTAATACATTGTACTTGATAGTCTGTGAACGATCGATTGATAAATCGGTGATAAATTAATAATGGATCTTTTATCAGAGAGCACTTACTTTTCAAAGAATCCTTTTAATGTTAAATTGGTGCCAGTTCCGACTAATGTGCCCACACCTCCAAGACTAGAAGCATATGCTGTCACAAGATAATAAGTCATAGTAATATGTGTTGGTTTCTTTGATCTGTAATAATAAAGATAAATTAATTAATGTTCATTAACGAAGAACTTTGAAAAATTGATAAAATGATTACGCACGATTCTATACTTTCTTCGCAATTATTTTCTTCTCGTATGAACATATCACCCAAACCTTGCTGAAAATTAAAAGATAAAAAATATATAAAATCAATTTGAAAAAGAATTTAATGATAGAGAATCAAATTAATATTAAATATTTAGAAATTGGAATAACGCTTACTGCTTCAAGTTCTAAGAGAACAATTTCGACAATAGGTAACATCATAGTAGTGGCAGCAGTATTTGAAATCCACATAGATAAAAACATAGTTACGCAAAACAATCCCAATGTTAATCTAAAAATGATATAGCTTATAAAAGTGTAATACATATGATATTATAAATAATGTACATTTTATTTTGATATATATATGGTAATAATATTTTACAACTAGTATAATCAGAAGTGATTTTATGTGAAAAAATAATTCGAAAATATAGAATAAAATTTTTTTATTTTAAACTTCGTTTTCGAATAAAACAAGTTTGAAAAATTTTCAAATATAATTAAAATTGGCTATTTCTCTCTTATGTAACATATAAAAATAAACATAAAATGTAAAATAAAATTTTTAAAGAAAATCAAATTTGAATATATACTATCAAAATATTTACTTATATTATATAATAAATATAATCGTGTAATTGATGAATTTTCAAATTCAATTTTTTCGAAAACAAATTTTGAAATGAAAAAATTTATTTTATATTTTCAAATTATTTTTCATCTTTTGTCCATTTATATTAACAACAGATAACGATAATAGATTACAAGATATATAATAAAACATATATATATATATATATTTATTATATATATATAATATTATTATTATTACTATTTTATATATACAAATATATAAGAAAAATTGATAGTATGATAAGATTTAAAGACTAAATGAAAGATTATTGAAAACATTTAGACTATGTCAGTCATTTTAAATTACCTTCGATGACTGCAACCAATCAATTTAATGATCAATAGTGCGATACGTATATGTAGACCAGAATTTTCAATAACGATCGCAATCACCATACTGCCAATAAACATCATTGTAGTATCATTCATATAACACATACAAGTGTCACCAGTGCTCATTATGCCCATCAGTGGGTAAAGAAAAATAGGAATTAAACCTGTGATTGGTAAAGGAAGTACTTCGGTCATCCAGAACATTGCCATCAAACCAATCACGTATAGACATCGCATCGCTTTTACCTGCATCCAATCGATACATAATCCTTTTCGTATTATAATGTACGATAATGAATAGATGTACATTATACGTATAATAATCAAATGAAAAAGTGAAAAAAAAATGCTAAATGTAATGAATAACGTAAAAACAAATTTAAAAAAAAAAGAGAATTGAAAGAAGATTCGAAAAAAGAAGAACGAACCTCGGTAGTTTCAATGATAACAATGGGCAATAGAATCAGTGGCCATAATATGATTACAAACGATTTCCAATAAATTAAAAGAAATTGTATCAACAGTTTACCACAATTGTCGGTCTTTCTGAAACAATCATATCAATCAAAAATAAACATCAAGAATACATTGATGAATGAATAAAGATGAAGGGAAAATTGGAAATAATAAAAAGGAAAAAAATAAAGAAAAAAAATATAAATAAAAAAAAAATATGACGATTGATATTAATTGATCTATATTTTATCACAAAGTCATATATTATTCTTTAATTATTATTAAATTATGTATTTTTATGTAAAGTCAAATTTTCATGAATATGACTAAAAAAATAGAGCTCAAATAGAATTTGCTTTATTCTTCAAATATTATAAATGTGTAATATTCTAAATATCTTATGTCTTTTTGCATGTTATATACTTTTTGTTTTTATACATTCAAATTTTAAATACATCCGCAATATAATAATTATTATAATCATTTTTATATATTAAAACTCATAGATAAATAGTTCATTAAATTAACTATGAATCAATCAGTATATAATTTCTATACATTTCTTTATTTTTTTACGTAAACTTTAATTACAATATAAAAAGATATGTACCTCCTGTTCGTAGAATCTGTAGTTATTGGATTATCAATAGATAGTGTAGCCATTGTTTTTTGTCTAGTCAAAAGCCATGTACCTAAAAAAAAAAAGTGAGATATATACTTCTGTACGAGTAATTTTTTATCCAGGAAAAAAAAAACGTTGCAAAGAACATTGATTTATGTCATGACGTATCATACAATAATCGCTAATTTGAAATAATGATCGAACGATAATTGTGTTTCAGTATTCCAACATTTATTCCTTATTATTGACTAATATAACATTAGATATCTGTTAGATTGGCAATCGAAATTAAGTATGTATTTTTTATGATAGAATTGGCACACGATGATACAAAGAATTGCGCAACTTATTATTCTTTGCCTGTTACCTTTGTCCTCCTTTCTGGTCCCATTTGTATCGTGTGCTCGGATTACAGCTAAATAATTTCACTAAGTGACACTGAACGAGATTGACCTCGAAGGTCTTGCACAATGGGTCATCTAACCCTGTCGACCATTTTACTATTTTCATAATTGTATTCAAGTTTTTCCTTATATTTTAATTGCTACTAATTGTTCTGCATTATATATACATGTTTGCGTTTTTAAACAGATTTAATTTTCTATTGTTTTATAATTTATTTTGCTTATATTTTAATGAAGTAATTACATGCTGTTGCGTTCTTTTTGAAAATCGAAAATCACATTAACAAAATTACTTTTTCAATACAATAATCGTAATCTTTTTTTTTTTGTATGTTTTTTTGAATTAAAAATAGTGATTTCGAGAAAAAAGAATACTTTTATCGATAGTTTTATATGATATCGATGAACCGGTATAATATTTTTGTGCTTCTATTTCTATATCGAATTTTTGCGTACGAAATAACATATGTTATATCATATTCGAATTGAATATGATATGAATTGATCCGTACATTCAATTCTTTGTACATATACCCTTATATTGCCACCAGAATATTCGAGATCGCCTTTTTATCGTGTTGGTTACAAAGCTTACGTTTTGTCTGACATCGAATTGGTAATAAACTCAACGATATAAGTACATTCGATTTTAAAACAATCAATATATCGAACTTATACCGATATATCGATATCATGAAATCCTAATCGAAATAAAATTATAAACCGCGAAAAAACAAAATTTCTAACATTTGTTTTAAAGTTATTTGAATATTATGGAATTCTATTTTATGGTGCTATTTTATATCCTATTTTATATTTTAAACAAATAATCGTATTGATAATTCTATCAACGAATATCGAATATCAATTATTTGGAAGATTCGAAGTTAAGTATTCGAATTAAGTATTGCATTGTACTAGTATAATACTGATCGGAATCGATTAAATCGATATCGTATATCTGAATAAACGCTTTGCATACTGGATTTTGAACCATCGTATTACAAGTTGTACGGTATATCGTTGGATGATCATTGCCTCCCGTGCATATTTTTGTATATACTGTTTCAAGAATGGATCTCACCAAGAGACTTCCAAATCGAGTTCTTGATCGTTGCACGAACTTTTATACCACTGCTCGGTTTCGCTTAGGCACGCATAATCGGACCACTGGCGATTAAACTATCACCCCTCTCCTTTAGATTTCTTTCTCTTGCTCGGCGGTCGCTTCTGCTTCTTATTTCTTTTTTCTCCTTCTTTCTTCTTTTTTTACTGCCACTGTTATTGCTACTAATTTCTCGTTCTCTTCCTCCTTCTTTTTCTTCTACCTCCTACCCATTTTTAGATATTGATGCTTTTTATTTGTTACTTACCTCGTGGTTTGTCCTCTGCCTACTTGGTTGGTTCTCCAACGACTGGTAAGTCAACTCAACGAAGTAACAACTCGTGACAAACGGTATCGTTCCCCGTCTCTCGTCCTTGGTACGTCGATGTTCTTATTGCAGGTTTACTTGCAAACGTAAACTTACCAATCACCCACGTGGAATTCGGATTTCGAATCGATCAATTTCTTTTCCCTTCTTCTTTCTTTTTCTTTCTGTAATTTTCATTCACAGTTTAAGATGTATACTTTGCGATTTGAATTCGACATGAAATTTTGACTAAAATCGAATGAGCATTAAGATAAAAATAAAATTAAGTTTAAATTTTTTAGATATATGAGATTGCAAATAACAAATGTGCCAGTGATCATGAATAAGAAATAATTTATAAAATGCAAATCAACGTGACAATGTATTACATTAAAATTAAAAATAAATTAATTCAATTTTTTCCCTTACTTTTATCGCTTTTGCAATCATTGTACAAATATTAATCTTTAAAAAAACAAAAAATAATAATTGAAAATTTTTAATTTCGTATTATCTTGATATAGGAAATATTATATATTACATTACAAAATATTCATCCGAATAAACAAAATAATGAGAGTTTATAATTATTATCAATTTGGTAAAAATAATTTAAATTCGAGATTTGAATACAAGATACGCATTTCAGTATAATAAACGCGCGGCGTTTGAATCAATTTAATCCCTCCAGTAATTAATCCCGCTCATGCTATCACTCGTCCTCGTGTTTATTACGTGACGCATCTTATGGTTCAAATAGACCGGTAAACATAGTTGTAGAAAATGTAACCATCCATAATAGTATTACGAAATACATTCTCCCTATTTTCTATCGTTAGTTATCTTACTTCATAAAAAATTGATGAAGAAATATATATAAGAAGAAAAATTTATGTTTTTCTAAGTTATGAAAAGATCATGCACGATATGATGACCGAGAATGAAATTCTTATCATGTTTCTTCGCAACCGAAATTCTAATTGAACAGATGTCATAACAGAATATTGTTTTGAAATATTGTTATATATATATTATATATTATATATAATATAGCGAATATTGGATATATTTAATAAATTACTAAATAATCATTAAATAATCATTTCTTTTCAAATGAATTGGGTATTTATAATTAAATAAATGTGAATGATATTTAAAATTGAGTAAATTGCAATTAATTTAATTAATTTAATCATTTTTCTGTCTCAGCTAAAAAATTTATCATCTTCTTCTTTTGATTTTCATTTGAAAGGAAATGACCAAAAGAAAAAAAAAGAATTGAATAGAAAATTTCAAATTCACTGCACGTTTTGTATCCTGTACGTGATATACATAGATACTATATACGTGATGATGTAATTTAGCGTTAGTAACCATAATCGGAGAACATTCGATTACCATTGACCTAGCGTAGTCGTTCAAGTTCGATGCTTACATCAACAACTGTTTTTTATTTGAAATCGCCAATAACTTATAATTATTATAAGTTATATATCAAACTGTAAATACAAAATTGAACATTATTTTTAATTCCTTTTTTTTTTTTTTTCTTTTTTTTAACTATAGCTTATTGTAATTTCCAGAAAAATATAGAGTTTACGCGAGTATATCCTTTGCTGTAATATTATTGGGCATCGGAGTTCCTCTTTGGTGGCATACTACTGCAGTTCCGCGTGTACCGCTTCCTTATGATGGAATTGAGCAACTTTCCAACTTAGAAATCAACATTAAAACAAAACTTATCGTTCTAGCTCTTTCCCGAGATCGTGCTGAATTATTGGTTCATGATATAAAAGAAGCTTTCAAAAATGCCAGTGAGTAATTTAAAATTGTGTTTTCATATTTTTCATCTTTCTTTTCTTCTCTCTTCATTTATCCATGATATCTCTCACAGGTATCTGTCAAATAGAGATCATTTATCGTGTAATATCCAATACTTTCGCATTTACGCATCATCAATTAGAGAAGATAGCATCTACTTTTGATGTTGATGTAGGACAACTTTTACTCTTTGAAACAACTAACTTGAATAATGCAGTTCTTGTTGGTTCGAAAAGAACTATTTATTTTTCTACTGAAACCAGTAAGCAGCCAATTAAGTATCTTTTAAAATATCATTGCTTTCTTACAATCCTTAATCTCCTCCATGATTGCAATTTCGTATCGATATCGTTTTTATTTCAGCTTCTTCCACTTTGATACAAATATTATCGGAATGGATGTTGCACGAAAAGTCATTGGCTTTAACAAGAAATGCACTCACTGAACCAACCCTTTATAGTTTAGATGAGGAGAATAGAAGAAGATTTCCGACTAGTCCGGCGTATGATATATTGATCACTGTCGTTAATCCTGATCCAGAGAAATTGAAGATTGATTGGAATCTTCGCGAGATGGTTGAAGGTGGGTAAGAAAAAAATTTCTCTATTCTCCGTGTGAGATTAATTTTTTGATTTTAGAATATGTCGAACCCTTTCTTGATGAGGTTTCAATTTTGAGTAATTTTTCGGTTAAATCGCAGTGGTTGTATTTATTACCTTTGGATGTGACTCCGAAACGTGTACCTGATAGTAGTCCGTTAGGTAGACACTTTGCATTATCGGAAGATGTTTTGCCACAACTAATCACACCTTTGGAAAAAAAACTAGGTTCGTATCTTCATTTCACTTAGTTATTTATGAAAAATAAAACATAAATGATAAATTTCTTTTAGCCTCGCAAGTTAGTCTTCGATCAACTATTAATTTCGTCATCTATGTTGTTCCTTGCGATAATGCTCCATTATATATTTACACACGTTCTGGTCATCGATCAAAAATTAACGCTAACGTTGAAGCATTTTTTTCTCCAAGGTAATGCATAATTCATCATTTCGAAAATCTTGCAAATAAAACGATTTTTTGCTTTTATTGACAATATTGTGTTTGTCATTTTTTCCTGGAACAGGTGGGGTGGTGTAATATTAATCAATCCACCCGTGGAAACTTGTATGACTGTGAAATCTGATGAATTAGTTACCATTGTTCCTGAACAGACTATCGTTGTTGGAACATTTCTTACGCAATTGAAACTTCTCTTAGGTATTCCTGAGCCGGTAATTATTGCTTTCTCTATTTTTATAGGTTTCTTTTATTTTTTATTACTGATTTATCTATGACGTAATGATATAAGTAAATAATGATACAAAAAATCATGATTTTTGATAGTTTCATAATTTAATTTTTTAGAAATTTTTGAATGGTGTTACCATTGTTCCTTTACCAGGATTGAAACTACATAATTGGGAAGTTGATGCATTGCTACGTGTACGCACGATTGAGCAATTAACATCAGCAAAATTGACTTTGCAATCACTTGCTCGACTTCTTCAAGAAATTGGTAACATTGTGATCACAGATATTGTAGGAAATAGAATAAAAACAGCCTTGAGTTTAGTGGAAAAATCAGCTCAACAATTAACACAGGGTGATCTAGCTACAGGTTTCTTATTGAGCAAAGAAGCATTCATTACCGCAGAAGCAGCATTTTCCGATCCAACACTTTTTGCTTTGTTGTATTTTCCTGCAGATCAAAAGTAATATATCTTTATTCATACGAAATATTCATCATAGTATCCTAATCTTCATTGTTTTTTTCATTTTATTTCTTTTTCTTTGATTTCAGATATGCTGTATATACACCTTTATTTTTGCCAACTATGGTACCAGTCTTGCTTTCTTTAAAAAGTATTTATCGTTATTATTTTGTTCGAAAAAATAATCCATAGAAGAAAGATTCCACAAGACTATAATAAATAAAAATTGTAAATTTTTCACAATAATGTTTTTTATCAATTTTCCGATTTCTTTTTCTTATTTTCGAATTTCGAAACGTTACATTATCTTATTTGGATGAAACGAATATTACAAATAAAAACAATTTTTTTTATTGTACAAAGAAAATATTGATTAAGTTATAAAAACAGCAGAAAGTGTAAAATGAATGAGTGAATGAAAAATAGAGGAAGAAGATTAAGTGATTAAAAGATTAAAAAGAAGAAAAGGAAAAAGAGAAGAGAATGCGTCGAGCAGTTTAAATTGTTCTAACGAATATCAAATAAGTTTAAGATATTTTACATATAGCTAAATTTGTTTGTCCTGCATCTTTGTCGTACATAGATTAAATTCTAGAAATATAATTTTTTCATAATTTCTGTTATTCACGGATAAACCGTATTACACGTCACAGCATATGATATAATACAAAGTAGCTAAATAAAATTTTTATTTATTCACAGGTACGCGTCTTTTATCCACACATTTTGCCTATCAAATTTCTTCCACGCATTCTCATGCATTCTTTTTTAATAAATTTCAAATTAATTATCATTAGATCGTTAGAAACAGCTAATAATCTATATACAATACACGTATATCAATCCTCAACCAGTTACCAAATGGTTACAAAATTATTGAATTGAATCACTATAAAATCTATGTTCAACTACTATAAGAAATTTCACTGAAATTCAAATTACTTTACTGTAGCCGACTCGATACGAGCAACTTCATGAAAATGGAACGATCCGTTATATGAAATATTTCGTAATTCTAACAGATCGAGATAATACTATTCCTTTTTTCATCTAATATACTCTTAAATTCATGTAAAACACCATATTTATTGTGGATTTAATACCACATTCTTTATCTAATTGGAATCTAATCGGAAACAAACACAATTTTATTTTTCATTCGTTCGATTAGTAGTTGAACATTATTGCTAACAGTAAAAATAAATTAATCGGTGAATTGAAACATTTACTCATATCAAAAAAAAAAAAAAAAAAAAAATANAAAAAAAAAAAAAAAAAAAAATATAATAATAAAAAAATAGATAGAAGTCATAGATGAAGAAGAAATAGGAGTGAGGAAAGGACGGAAGGGGTTGAGTGTAAAATCAAAAAGAAAAAAGAAAGAAGAATCGGAATAAGAAGAAAATCAGAGATGTTGAACTAGTTGTATCGCATGTTGCAAAGCATCTACGATATTCTGAAAAACAGGTACACCTTCGCGCGACGCATAGTCCGACAGGTACATTCTTCCCCGATTGTAGTCTTTTATGGCTTGTTCAGTTAGCTAAAAAAAAAGGTTACTTTATATAACAATATATATAGAATTTTTTTTAATGAAAAAAATCAAGAAATATGAACGAAAAATATTTTTGTATATTTTTTTAATATGTGATAATATATATCTATATAAAATATGGTATTTATACTGTTCCAGAAATTAATCGATAAAGCTTAACTGATAATTTCTAAGACAGTTTCATTTTAAGTAATATTTTTCTTTGTGCATTTTCGACTTTGTTAATAAATTATTAACGAAAAACATTATAGCTATTGCGTTTTGATAATAACGTTGTAACTATCAATTAATCGTCAAGTTCAATATATCTAATATAGTGGTCAAAAAAGTATTGGTACACATAATAATTTCTTTACAATTGGATTTAATGATTTGAGTTTTTTTTTTTTTATAAATTAGTTTATTAGATAATAGTAAAAGAATTTTTCCAAAAATTATAAATTATCGAAATATTGAAGAACATTTTTTTCAACTTTTTTATCTGAACTTTTAATGAAAATTTAAAAACTATATTTTGTAAACTTGTCAATTATATGCTATAAATTTCATTGAAATCAATTATTATGAATTGTTTTGAAGGATAATACTTTTTTACCCAACTATAGTTGCTTCGATTGTTTTTTCAAATTCAGAGATTTACATATGGTAACACATACGAATGCTATTCTATATAATAAAGTTTTATGCACTTTATGCAGTATTTTTCATTAATAACTTAAAACAAAATCAATCAAAATGAAAATTTACAAAGGAAAAAGTTGCTTGAAAATTGTTTTTAGGATTATCTGTTAAATCTTGTTAATTAATTTCTTAGAGATATCTCATATAAAACATACAAAAATATTCACCTTTTCACCAGAAACTACGCAGTCTTCGGGAAGCATTTGAACGCATAGGACTAATTTTGCGCGTAATCCAATGAGGTGAGCTGCCAATGCCATTATAGTGATACCACGTGAATGTTGCGGTACAATTAATAATATTAACTGCGAATTTTTCATTCTCTGCAATTCTTGTGGCAACACTCTTACATTGTACTCATTCAGGCTTGATCGATATAAAGATAATCCAATAGATCTAAAATGATAAATAATTTACATGTAAACTTACAACGATATTGTCGAAATGGCAATAATTGAAAGAACGTTACATCTCGAATGCTCACTCGATCGAGGGTATGGCGGTTGTTTCTAACCAAAATTGATCTTTACCGATTACTCCAATGTACAAGTCTCTCTTCTCGGATTCTGGCACGAAGAAATTGGTCCAATCTAAAAAGTTGAACGGTCGAACGAATCGTACACTCGACTGCTCGAACGCTTTCGTGAACAATTAATCGAGGCACGAACGTCTCTAACAACCTGTTTGCTAGTTCATACACGCTAACAATACAAACACTACTACAGGTCGTGGGAAATTTTTGAGAATAAGAAATACCTAAGAAACGATTAAAAGGTTGCACGATAGCTCTGCGAAGAAATTTCGTTGCCTTCCTACATAATATACTCCAAATTGAAGGTATCTCACTTTCACAAGAGACGCCGTTGCTTTTCATCCTCCACGATGATTCAGTAGCTAAGGCACAAAACTGTTCAAAGTTTATTCGCAATTCTGTTGGATCCCTTTTGGTCAAAAATCCATCATCTATCAATGACCTATAAGTTTCTGAAAACATAAAAACAAATAAAGAAAATATAGCCAAACCAATATTTTCCGTTTTCATTGCTATCATATGTGATAAATATGTGTATGATTGAATATATAAATAATAGCATGTATGAATATATATAATCGAGTTTCATTATAAATATAAAAATTTATTACCAGATTTGTTCACGATACTAAGAAGTTCCGGCATTGATGATACATTGCACTTAACACTCGATTGTAATGCTATCCAAGCCTACAAAATCAAAAATGCAAACTAAATGTACAAAATATATGTGCTTTTTTATGTAATCTATATTTTTTTATATAAATTGTATAGTTTTATTTCGAAATAAGCAATTTATTCAAAATTGACTAATTGTTTATTATGGATTAAGTATATTATTCAACTTGATTTTGTTTTCAAATGAAATAAGGAAATTGAGATAAACTTAAATTATAAAATAATAAACTCAATAAATATTATTTTTCAAAAAAACAATAAAATAACGTGCTTTCTCACTCTATCATTAAGCAATTCCGAATAGAAATAAGATTTATCACTTCTTGCTTTCATTTCTTTGGAGAAAAAATATAAAAACGAGAAAAAGAAAAAAAACGAATTGCTTATTTTAAACAAGAAAAATTGCTTATTACAGATCATAATTTTACATTATTATAGCTAAACTTACTTCTTCTAAGTTTACACTTCCGCTGTCACTTATATCCATAGACTTGAAAATCTCTCTGAGTATACTAATAAAATTAAAATTGAGTATTTAATACTATTTTATTTACATAAATATATATAGTTTCAACAAAAAAACTCTTACACTAAATCTATTCCATTTTGATTGAATGATATTTTAATTGGTCTAATGCCATCTTCGGAATGCAGATCTTGCACATTAATTTCCTCACGTAGCACCTAGTGAAAGTAAAGGATTTATAAATAATAATAATAATTAAAAACAATTTTACTCATGAAATATCACATACAACAATCATCTATATCTTAATTCTATTTTATATTATATATAATATGAAATATATAATGAAATATATATATTACATGGAAAATTCAGAAATCAATTAATCACTAATTGTAAATCACATTCTCTGAAAATGATATATGTATATATATACCTTAGATGTACAATTCAGTGCAACAGATACACTTTCGAATATTGGTATCCTCTGTTTCTCCATTAGATATTGAAGTACTAGCAAACCATTCATCAGGTCACAATATTCTCTAAAGAATTAATGTTTGTTGTATAAGTTGATAGTTATTAACATTAATTTATAGGATCAAAAAATAAACGGAATCAAAAAGAATGGACTTACTGAGTAGATACAGTTTCGCCAAGTATCGTTTGACCTTGACGATATGGATAAATAACAAGAATTAAAGATTCGCGGCGCGTAGCTGCCAACTGAGCTGCTTCAATGATGCCTGCACTATTGCGTGTTTGATTATCGATTACAAACAGTAATACTTTCGCCGTTTGTTTTGCTTCATATTCTTGCGCTATCAATTCTGGTCCCCATTGTGATACTTGCTGAAATACATTATTTATAATTATATCAATAATTATTAACAACAGATAAATCAAGATAAAACGTATATCGATAGTTACATACGGGATTGTAATAAGTAATTCCGAGTTTTTGTAAAGTTGGTATCGCTATTTCTGATCTCCATGTGGTTGGATTACAAGATCCACCCAGAAATACCTCACATGCCATTCTACCTGCAAAAATAAATACTATAATATATATATTGATATATGCTAATATGTGGAAAAATGTACATGTTTAAAATATACTTACTTGAAGCACTTTTATTGTTAATATCTTTTCCATCACAGTGTAACAAATGAGTAGCATTCATAGAAGCGGCTGTTCTGAAATAAGATGTACATAAATTAGTCATAATTTCATAAGACTAACAGTTTATGATTTAAAGCAGTATTATCACACTCAAACTGCGAACATATCAATCTTTATCTGATTTGCAAGAGGATTCAATATATATATATATTCATTTTTTATATACATCCAACTATTTAGAAGTTGTTAATTTCATAAATAATAAATAATAGATAAAAGTTGAATTGATTTTGGTTAGAGTGTGGTAATATTAAAATCATTTTATTACCAATTAACTTAATGTAATATTGTACTGCTAAACATACTTCCAAGTATCAAATCCTTTTGCAACAAGGAAAAGCATGTTACGCTGCATTTTGAAAAACTATTTCTTTCATTAATTACAACCAATTGTTTATTATTTTAAGCCTGTAACATATTTATTCACTTTTGTTGCATAATAAATAAAGCAACAATAAGTTAAAAGAAAATATTTACATTACCTTTTTTTGCACAAACGTGCCAATTCAATGATAAAAATATAAAATTCTTGGAGCATTATATAAGCATGAGGACCAATAATCAGATAATTTTTAGTAAGTCGCCACTCTTTGTGTATGTGTATCCAATATACAAGTGACAACATTACGTATGTTTTTTTTCCCTGAAATAAAATTATACTTTCATTAGTGAAATTTTTTAGTTCAAAGTATAATTTTTATATTAAAGTTATTATTAAGATATAATAAATATATTTTTGTTAATTATACTTACATAGATTTTGTCGATATCTGTTGATATAAACTTGAACAGATATACAGAAAGATTTCATTGTACAAAATAATATGAATTAGGCAAAGAATCTATGCCTATTTGATATATTTATCTCTTAATCATTCAACAGAAGAGAATTTTGAATTTTCCTATTTAAAAGAAAGATTATTATTATTTTTTTTATTTTCTTTCTTATATAGTATGTCATAATTATAAATTATATAGTGAATAGAGAGAAAAATATTCATATTTGTTTTACATCTTTGTAAACAGAGATATAAATATAAAGAAAATCGTAATCATTATGATAACAATGTATATATTCGAAACATTTACAATGTTATTTTTATTATTAATAAATATACACGTTAAAGTACACTATTTAATTACCTACTGCAGCTATTCACTGCTACCCATTGAGAACTAGCGTAAGTTTGCAAGGCGATGGAGAACCTGTCAGGCACACTAACCTTGATGATAGTTCGGTGCTGCATGCCCACGCATAAAAAACATATGTGGTAAACTTCAAAGGGAAAAACATTGATTTCGACTGCATTTCATGTGCATTCATTTATAAGTCTCAAATCTGAATAAAAAAACGCGGTAATCAAACTCAGATTCTCTGGAAAAATCAACAATGAGAGATCTGATAGTACACTCCCGCTATTGCTCATACTTATTTATACATCGTTATATTTAAAATGTAAGAGCGTCGTCAAAGAGGCACTGCTGTGAACAAATCACAAATAAATTACATACTCGTGAACATTCTTTTGATATCAGTGATATCGCGCGTAATTTTATTACCGCGCGAAAAATACTCTACAGTTCGAAAGCACTACACTCGATTCAGATTAAGTTCCCTCGAAATCAGTAATCGTTGATGAAATCACAAATCAGCGCTACCACTGTTAAACGTCGCGCTTCATATCATGTTCCTTTTCTATCTCGTGCACCTTCTTTCCTTTTTCTTTCACCCTTTCCTCTCTATTCTTCTTACAATTAGTTACCCTCACTCCATTCCATCGGCACCTTTCTCCTTTTCTTACTTATAAGTTTAATAATTTCCAATTTTTGATTCAAAAAAAGAAGTCACTATAGGCAAATAATGATTTTATTTTAATGAAAAACGAAACGTTTAATATGTTTCACTTAATTACAATAATAATTTATGTTTTTTGCCTTTTTCGTCTCTATCACTTCCCGCCACTAGCTGTACGCGTGTATATACTACTGTAGGTCGCGCGCACCGACTTAGGACCAGACTCGAGAATGACGTAAACCTCCAACAATGAAGAGTGATGTCACACACAGCGAAGTTCGTAGAGGTTTGGTCTCACTATCACTGTCATCGCCATGGCAATTTATCCAAGAATTTTCTTTTATTTTGTTTTTAACTTACAATATTCCGAATGTTTTTATTGCAAATCATATTCTAATATAAATCTTACTTTTCACTATACTTCAACATAATAATCGAATAATAATAAAAACACAATAATAGTATGATCAAAAACAAGTTTTTTTTAATAATTCGTCATCAAGCTTAAGATTAAAAAATTCACTTTAGGAAATTATTGACGTCATTGATTTATGTTACACATGTTACTTACGTACATTTCATTTTACGTATATATTTCATTTTTCTTTTTTCTAAAAAAGATCACATTCACTGTAAATATGTTATAAATATACCTTTAATAATTTCTTTCTAGTTCATTTTCATTCATTTTATTTACACAGATTCATGTAGAGAATAAGAAATAATTTATAAAACTGATTCTTTACTATGCTTGATATGAAGAATTTTACTATAGAAAAATGATTCAACCAGAATAAGAAAGTTTTCTTCAATGTGAATGAATATTTTTCAATAATTTTTATACTTTTTATGTATATTATTTATTTTTACAAAATCAAAAAATATACTTAAAAAAACATTATCATTTGTTTAGATTTATATAATATGAGTCAAGTATACGAAAGTAAGAAAAAATGTTTCGATATAGTATATGTAAATAAAATAATTGTGAATCGTGCGTAATATGTAAATTCTTAAAAAATGAAAATTTTAAAAATATATCTTTTCAAAATTTAATTTTAAAATATATAGAAAAGAAAAAATAAAAATATGAAAAATAAAATATATAAAATTGCTTTATTAAAATACTTAAGAAATTTATTAAAATGTAGTTTGATATTAATCTTGAATAACAGGTGGTAAATTGCTATATTTCAATTGAATTAGAATTTATTATATATTTATCTATTATATATATCGATTAAAAATTTTTTTGTGAAGAAACATAAAATAGAAAAAAAAATAATTTAATAAATAAGTAAGTAAATTGATCAATAAAATACTTTTTATTTATTTTTATTGTGATTTAAAAATTTTGAGGAAAATTATTTCTATTGTTTCATTTGTACTCATAAAAATGCTGCTTTATTTGCAATTACTAATTTTATTTTAGTTTCTGCTCTCTACATAGTTGTATAAATCGTGATAAACACCATTCTCGCGGTTGTAAATGTTTGGACGGAGACACGACGTCTTGTATTTACCGTATATTTACTGGTATAACCTGATAAATAGAAGGCGGTAGAATGATCTAGATTCGACATAAAGATGCTTGGTATAATTGTATCTGGTCGACTCGTAAGTATTAAAGTTTTATAATAATAAATACCGACATTGTATTTCATTTTCGATATTAAACTGTCAAATATGTTATTTAATCATAAATATATCAATTTTCCTATTTAAAGTGCATTTTATTCTTTTTTAGTTTATTATTCTTTATATATTATGTGGTTTTGTTTCGTATCTTGTTTTTGTTACCTTTCAGTAATGCCCCTACCTCATCCTACCCCGTCGTCAGCTTGACACGAGCATCTAATCGAACATGTGAAATGTAATGTCGAAAAATTTAAATCTTTTTCAAATTTCAGTCAATAAACCTGAATTATTTAAAATATATGTATAATATGTAATTGTATATTAAATTTATTATAAATTAAATTTTTTTTAGGTACAAACGGATTTTCAGCAGATAGGAGAAAACCAGTTTTTAATAACAGTACCTGATGCAGATAATATAAATCATATTGTGGTATTTCTCACAGGTACTATACCATTTCCTGATGGTACAGGTGGTGCAGGTATATTATAATATTACATAATTATATAAATTATATAAATATGATATTAATGATATTCTAAGAATTGATTTTTTTATAGTATATTTCAGTTGGCCAGATCCAACTGCTCCACCTAACTGGCAGTTCCTTGGATATATCTCAAATGCTAAACCATCTGCTATATTCAAAATATCAAATTTAAAGAAGAATCATGAGTTTGAAAATAGCAATTTAGGAATTTTTGGAGTTGGAAAAATTTCACATGTAGCACAAATAGGGGTTTCTGTTGAACCTATTGCAGCTATAGAACAACAAGCAGCTACAGTGACACAGGCTACATCAAACTCATTTTTAGAATTTGTTCAAAAAATGCTTACTAGTTTTTTGAATTATGTTTCAAGTTTTTCTGTGACTCAAGCACAAATGACACCAAATCCAACAGAAAACTTTGTACCGCTATCTGCTATTCAAGGATGGTATGAAACTTTTGAGAGGAGGTTACAACAAAATCCAAATTTTTGGAAAGCATGATGAGAAAGCAACCAACTCTCAATAGTTCATTTCCATTTTGCATAGTGATGCGTCATTTTTCAGCACTCGTGCTTTGTGTTCGCGAAGTATGGTGTATCAAAATGCGTCATATTGTGCGCGTAAATTCAACTTTTTTATATTCTCACTAAAGAACAATATGATAATAATAAGAGTAATTATGACGCTATTGCGTACCTTATTCAAAATGCAGTACTTGCAACCTGTTAATGTTTAATATAAACATTCATCTCATTTTTTATTGTTGATATCAAGTATATGCTTTTTGAATTAGTCATGAAAGAATAGAATTATATCATTTTCATTCTAATTATTCTATATTTCGTAAATAACGCAAAATATTAGAAACATGTAAATATTTTTAATTTATAATATGATAAAAAAAAAACCATTAAACCTAATTTATGATTAAAGCAATGGAAATGGCGCATGCGTCGACTTCCATTTTGTTCGTGAAGTTTATGAATATCCACGAACAATTATAAAGATAGATTGTTATGTTACAAGAGAAAAGCAATGAATGATGAAGAAATTTTCATAGTGATATTATTTGTACTTTCATGAGGATAAAATTGAAACCTATTAATATGTATTTACATAATAAAATTATTCAATATATCAATTACTTGACCAGAGTTTTATGTTATCTATATTTTATTGATTCTTAAAAATAAAAAGTGATTTTTTGTATTATGATAAAATGATTTTAAGAAAAAATTCTTATGTTGAAAATAACCAATAAGAAGTATACCGAATAGTGGAAAAACAGCTTAATTTGTATATAGATTAATCTGTCATTCTAACTCTCGCATCGAGTGAGAATGAGTATTTTTTAAAAAAATTAATCAGAAAATGAATTCTTCATAAAATCATTATTCAGCAAATGTTAAGAAAAAAAATAAACAAACAATTTAATTAATGGAGATCACTCTTTATGATGCTGATCATTCTTCTGAATTGTTGTAACGAAAAGTGATCGCGTTTGGATTGAGTTCATATAAGACTAAGAGAATCGTTTATCCCGTAAGCTACCTACGTATCTTTTAAGAAAAATTTAAAATACTTAGGTACTTGTTACGCTTGGAATCAAAATAGTTATATTTTTTCCCATGTGGAAAAAGGCTTTCTTTTTTAATTTAATAATGTTTACATTGTACTTCTTGTATAAACGATTATTCATGGATTTTGTATGAAATATTAAAACGATTGGATATCGTCCATCGCGAAGAAACTTCGCAATTCAAGGTAAGACATCATTACTATTACTTATATTATAAACTTGTTATTTTTAGTTTATTATTATTTATGAAAAAAAGAACATGCGAAAAACATCCGGCTGTTTTATTTGAAAATGTTTTTATCTTTTAACATTTTCTTAATTTTTTATATAAAATGTTTTTATTCTATTTAGTTTGATAATTGCAATTAAAACATTTTGTGGCAGTTTGTAGCATTATCAATCTTCAACAAACATGAATATGCATATGTATGTCAATTTAAATGTCTATTAGTTTAATATATATTTTATTATCTATTATATTTCTATTATCTTAATTTCTTAAATTTTATTCTTTTGGTTATAATATTTAAGTATATTTAAATGATTAATACTCAATAAAGAATGATATATTTTTTTTTGTATTTATTTTTGTAAATATTTTTGTTTTGAAACAAAACGGATAACCCATAAAGATAAAACATTGTTTTGTATATATTATATACAAAACATTTTTTATTTCATCAATATATTTTTATATATAACATTTTTAAAATGACACAAATCAATAAGCGATAATAAACATAAGCACTTTAGCGTATGTTATCGATATCTCGTTTACTTGCGGTATCATCTTATTTCGAATAGATTTATGGAATTTGATGTCTAATCGTGATTTAAATGATATATATTTATCAATCGATAAAATATATATAATATTGAAAATTTTTGATAACTTATATTTATGATTATTTATTTGCTTTTATTAAAATTTATAAGAGATGTATATAATTTAGACGAAACGATATTATGAAGAATTATATAATGTTTATGTAAAATATATATATAAAATATTTTATAAATTATTAATAAATAATCAGGTTTATTAAATAATTATGAAAATTAGAATATTCCAATGCTACATTATGTATAAACTATATGAATAATCTATAATTCGCAATAAGAACTTTTCATGTTCAAGAAGAAGATTCAAGTTTATATATGATGTGTCACATAGAGAGGAGATGGAGAATTCTGAAGAGCCAACAAGTTTGCAATCCATTTGTCATTTACATGCTTCGGAATTATTTCCAAAGCATACACATTTTGAATGCGAGGATCAAACACTTACAGTTCCATTTACACCTTTGAGTGGAGAAAATATTGTAGCACTTGGACGTACATCGGATGGAGTATTGGCTCTTTCTAATTACAGACTCTATTTACAATTAAGTCAGGCATGTTACAATATTCCATTGGGTTTAATAGAGCAGTTAGAAGTTAAAGAACTTTTTTTCTTGCATATTGCTTGCAAGGATGCTCGTTCACTAAGGTATGGCATTTTATTATTTTGTTAAAGTTTATGATGTTTTTTATCATAATATAATTTAATATTTTCAGTTGTGTTTTTGCAACAAATGAACATTGTTTGGAATGGTTCAAGCGATTACATAAAGTAACTTATCCTCGAAAGAGTGTAGAAGATATATTTGCTTTTGCATATTATGCTTGGTCTATGGAAGAAGGCAAAGAAAATTTTAAATTAGGAAAAGATAATATATCATATAGTGCTACCTTTAATTCAGAAGTAAGTAATTAATAAGAAAACAAACATAAGTAAACTTAATTTTAATATAATTTAATTATTTTGTTTATTTCTTAGGTAGAACGACTAAAATTTAATTTACATACTACATGGCGTATAAGTCAAATCAATAAAGATTATCGCGTATGCCCGTCCTATCCACCATTACTTTTAGTTCCTTCTTGTGTTCCTGATGATAAACTCAAGGCTGGAGCAGAATACAGAAGTTTTCGACGAATTCCTGTCGTTGTTTGGAGGTACTTAAAAAAATAAAGAGTAAAAAAAATATTCATGATGATATGATTATTCATTTTATTATAATATATCACATTTGTCTTTTATAATTTCAAAGGCATGTAAATAATGGTGCAGTAATAGCACGGAGCAGTCAACCGGAAGTTGGATGGCTCGGTTGGCGAAATCCGGAAGATGAAATGCTTTTGCAGGGTCTTTCGGATGCATGTTCCTACGATAAAGGTAAATCGGATTCGTCTAGCATTTACCCTGATTCTGGCGATGATAATGTCACGACAAATAGAACGAAAGTGAGCATCGAATATATAAATATTTAAAACTAATTTGATCTTTAGCGAATTAATAATTTATATTGTTTATAGAAAGTTTTAATCGTGGATGCTAGGTCATATTCAACTGCTTTTGCTAATAGAGCACGCGGAGGTGGTTATGAATATCCTGGATATTATCCAAGTTGTGATATACAATTCATGAATTTACCAAATATTCATTCGATACGAAAAAGTTTTCACGCGGTGAGACAACTCTGTGCATCAGATGCAGATCAACCTAAGTAAATATTTTATATGTTTAGTTATCTTTTCTTTTTATTATGGTAATAACATTTACTATTTGAATTAAATTGATATATATACATATATATATTTCAATTTGTATAGTTGGCTCAGTCTATTGGAAGGAACACGATGGTTACAACATATGTCTGGATTATTACGTGCTGCAGTAACTGTAGCATCAGCAATAGAAAGGGATGGCCGACCGGTATTAGTACATTGTAGTGATGGTTGGGATAGAACGCCTCAGATTGTTGCTCTAGCGCAAATTCTTCTTGATCCTTATTATCGAACTATGGAGGTATGCCAAAGGTATTTTTTCTTTCTTGTTATTAATTTATAATTAATAATCATTTCGTTATTTCGTTTTATCATTACTAGGGATTCCAAATTTTATGTGAGAGAGAATGGTTAGACTTTGGACATAAATTTGCGGATCGTTGTGGACAAACGGTAGGCTGTGAAGATCCGAATGAACGATGTCCAGTATTTTTACAATGGCTCGATTGTGTACATCAATTAATTTTACAATTCAAGTGCAGTTTTCAAATGTCCTCTGCATATCTTGTAAATAGGCAGAAATTCATATATATCTGTTTTAAAATATTAGTTCAATTAATTACATTAATCGATTTTAGGTAAAACTTGCACAGCATACATATTCTCAGCTTTTTGGCACATTTCTTTGTAATACAATGCAAGAAAGATTACAATTAAGAATACGGGAACGTACATTTTCTGTTTGGCGTTTTTTAAATACCAGTTCATTCGTAAATCATTTGTATTCTCCTTTAAAAAATCAAGTAAGATATTTTTCATCATATATATTATGATAAATTCATTATCAATTATTTAGATAATTTGATATTTTTATGTAAAATTTACATATAATAAATATTTCAATAATGTAATAGAATAATAGTAATAATAGACACATTCCATATTTTAAAACATTTTATAGAAAATTTTTTATTTGCTAGGTACTATGGCCAAGTTGTAATGTCCGTGATCTTGTTTTATGGTCCGAAGTATATTTAGGTTCTATGGAATGTCCTCTTGGCATGAGAGATGATAAACAAAAAGTAACAATGATAGATATTGAGGGTGCTGAAAATGAAGAACCTCAAGGTCAAATGACTAAAACTCGTTCATATGGCGATCTTATGCACACGCCCGATCATACGGCCTATCTTCATCGTCGACTTAGTGATCCAAGCGCTTCGATGGAAAAGTAATTAAATTCATTTAATTTTTAATAATAATAATTTCATGTTTTTTATTTATGTTTTATATCAGAATGAATGAAATAATATATGTGTAATTCATATAATTTTATTATAGAAAATTTGATTCGTTAACACTCGACACAGAAACGGGTGAAAAAGGGAAACACAATTGTACAGAAAGTTGTAAAATTGATGATACAGTAGAGAAAAATATCATGGAAGATTTGAACAAAGTGGAACATTACACAAAAACAATGCAAATTTTGAATGATTCGCCGTTGAATCCATCAGTAGATAGTTCAACGGATACGCTAATACCTAGTAACGAGTTTTTATTTGATACAGTTGATAAGGAAACGTAAGTATTATCAAAACTATATATTCACGATGTAGAAAATTAAAATTGATGATTTAATTAATTAAATCATCGATAAAATAATCGATAAATTAAAATCTACATATATATATATATACTCAATCTTAAATTTTGAATTTTGAAATTCAAAATTGAAAATAGAATCAAAAATCTGAATTTGAATAAAAACAATAAAAATATTTGTCGTAGCAAATTTTTGAACAGCAAAACGCAGAAAAATTCTCCACCGGACATCGTATCTCCATGGATTGAGAACAATTCAACCAGTCGTATCATTTGTTCTTGTAATCGAAATTACAATCATAATCATAATGAGGGTAGTGATGTTAGTGATATTAGTGCGCCGCAAATTTCGAGAACACCTAGTAGCATTTGTCCAGCTTCACCAATTTACCAAGACATAATACCAGATAATCCTGATAGATTGGATGATGTTGATGGTCTTCCAGTTATACATTGCGACGTTCAGATGCGTGTGCAACAGATTATCATGGAACATAAGGTACTAATTTTAATTAGTTGAACACAAGTGTTCATTAATAAGAAGAAGTTTAGAGTTGGATGATTATGATATTGTTTCCTTTCTCTTTCTTTTTTTTATTACGTTTTAGTTGAAGGAAGAAGCATTAAGGAAGGAATTACATACAACAAGAATGGCTTTGATCAAACAAGTTTGTAATCATAACGCAGAAACCGATCGCGTTGATGATATCGTGAGTTGAAAAATTATTTAAAGTGATTGGATTAAACTTTGATTCATTATTAAAAATAAGAATATAATTTTATTGATAAAATATTTGTACGTATATATATAAAAAGGAAGAAAAAAAGAAAAAGTCTGACATTTATTAAGAAATTAAAGAAAAAAACATCCGAACACTGTAATTATTTATTTTAGGGATCATTACCCGATTCAGTTGGAAGTACTGGCGATCATGGAGAATCATTACCATCGGACATGTCATGGGAAGCAGTGGAGGAATTAGGTCCTGCTCCTACTCTTTGGGTACCAGATCATGCTGTAAATCGATGCATGGGATGTGATACAGAATTTTGGTTAGGACGACGTAAGCATCATTGCAGGTATGCGGCACGCAGACCAATGTCATTTGTAACATCGTAATCACTGTTTATAATAATTTCTTTGAATAAAATAGTTGTATGATATAACCAGGTATAGAATAAAGGTGTAGAATAAATATGAGAATATAAGTTTAAAATAGAATTATTTGCTTCTTTATCGTAGATGCTGTGGCAAAATCTTTTGTGCGGATTGTTCTGAGAATTCAACACCACTTCCTAATGAACAACTATACAATCCTGTGAGAGTTTGTAGTGATTGTTTCTCTCGACTTCACCGACACACAAGTCCTTGTCAGTATAATATTCGTCATCAAAGCAAAGGAGAAAACGATACGGAACTCTCGTCAAATTCTGAAAATTTGACAACTTGTCAAAAATCAAAAGGTTTGAATCTGACGAAAGACAATTGCTGCGATAATTTATTGCAAGTTGTGCATCAGAAAGTACAACCTCCAGTTACAGCAGCCACTGTAAATTGAGAAAACTCACATGAACTCAATAAGGAATATTTGTAGTATTCGGATTTTTATTTGGTTTTCGACGACGCGAGGAGTGTATCTTTAATACGATCAACTGCGATACGCGTTCTCGCATTTTTCATCTATGTCTGTACAATGTATACTTCGATCAGATGTATATATTGCGTGTGAATCGATAGTTTCACAATTACAGTTAGATGATTTGGAGCGATCTAATATTTATTGCTAGATTAATCATTTGTACGGAAAAGAGTGTATAATTCATTGGACAAATTGAGAAAAAAATGTCAATATACGAAAGATTGTATATATCTTAGTTGAATCAACGAGGAGATACTAGGCTTCTTCAAACACAAAACCCTATTCAAGTTTCCCTGTTTTTAGGTGATATTATTCCCTTCTTAAAGATACAGCAAGCGAGACCGAAAAATATTTTGGATAGGCTGTGATTGACGTTTAATTCTAGATACCATATGAGGTGTGCTCTTTAAATAAATCGATCGATCGATGAAACAACTCCTTATTATTAGTAGTTGAATAATGATACGAGTAATCTGTATTTGTATATTACCGCTATTTACGAAAATTGGTATATTAAATGTCATTATCGCAATATGCGATTGTTTTTTTGTTTTCACTTTCTCTTTCTCTCGCTTATGCGTATGATTGCAATTAGTTGGTTTTTATACAATGGTCTTCAATCCGGTAAAATTCTGAAGCGGTGATGCATTCTTTAAAATCTGTGTTGCATTTCTTATAATATCGAAATCGTCCTTTGTGTCATCTGCATTTTGAAATTGTATCAGAATAACAAGATACGTCGTCACAACTCCTGCAATCTAAATGACATATCATATGCAGTACAACAATAATATATGTTTTATATTATTTAAATGCATTTGTTTTTATGTGAATACTTAAAATATTCTTACCGATGTTATTAAATTTCTATCCAAGGAAAAAAGTCCGCATGCTGAAAATTCGAGAGGCCGATGCAACAATTGAAGCGAAAATATTTCTAATTCACGTCGGACATTTGCTTCAAAACTACAAGAAAGTAACTGGCTAACGAGAACTGCCGTTTTTTTTCCCTGAAACGAAAGTGTTTTTCAAATTCATGTTTTGTTTTCTTCTATTTTTTTTCTACCTCTGCAATTGTAGAATAACTAGGTTGAACAATTATCAGCATTCTAGTTATATGAAAGATGCACCATCCACCTTGTACAATCAGAAATATCCATTCATGTCTTTCACCAGCTTGTAATATTAAAAAATATGGTGTGATGACTAGGTGTAATAAACAGGTTACAGTAACAGCCAATATCACAACACCAAATGTACTGTTTACAAGAGAGACTGCATCACAAAGCGAAGAATGAACCATTATCAATTCAGATATGTTGTTTACGTACATTTTATTTTCTGCAAATATATAATACGTAAAGTATGAAAAATATTATTCTACTATTCAATTTTCATTGTATTTGAATTTTAATTAGTTATCTACAAAATATACCATCTAATTTTCGCGATAGTCTATAGCTGCCTAATACAATTTGACGTTTTGGTTTGAGGTTCCATCTTTTTTTGTCGTCTATATCATCAGCTGCTTAAATGAATGAGAAAAAAGAAATATATTCAATTTTAATGATATCCATTTTTAAATAAATAATTTCAGTTGTTTTGATAAAATGAAATTAAAAATTATTAAAGAAAGTTATTATCGATCATATTGAAGATTGTTTTAATTTTATTCTATTTACCTGTCTCAGGATATTTTCGAAAATAATCCATTGCATTGTCATTGTTGTTGCTATTTGCATTAAACAAATCCTTGAGACTAGTATTTAAACGAATGAATCTTTGTCCTATGTTATATGTTGAGACACTGTATTGAATTTCTGTCGAAATAATTACTGTATACATGAAATATAGAGGTGCATAATTAATGGGACCTTTGCCGGTCATCGCTTTATTATTGACTTTTGTTTTACGATTCCATGTGTAAAAATCTATAATTGAATTGAACCAGAGATAACTTAGGCTACATATTGTTAGTACAATCGTGAATCTTCGAGTCGCTTTTGCAGATGATACACCGATCTTTTCATCCACCTAAAAAAAAATGTGGATATATTTTATATTTAAATTCATTTCATATAATTGATAAAATAATAGAAAATTTACTGATTCTTTACCTCAATTAATTTGTTTATAACAAGTTGCAAATATTTCCAACGGAAAGGAGAGCCAACAATACAAACCACAGTTAAACTCATTACCCCAAGTACATCACTACAAGTTGCGATTACTGCTGTTCGAGATTTTAATCTGGTACTATATTCCCAACCATCTTTTAAATCTCGCCACAAACCCCAAATTTCCGCACTAAGTAGTAATATAAGTACACATAAACTATAAAATATATCAATATTATAATTTCTTAATTTTATTTTAATATTTCCTATTGCATTTCTATTAGAAAAATGTTTTTGAGTTACAAACAAATTTTTTAACAATTTAATTTATTGTTTTTTCTTACCTATAGATAAGATCTATAATATTTAAACGAGCCTGACATCCTTCAGAAGTATGCACAAAAAATCTTACTGGAATCAAGCCACACAATTTACCAAGATAATATATCGGAAAGATTGCTTGGCAAAGTTCATTGTTAAACAGAATTTTCCTTTTTTCTTCTACTCGTTTTACCTCCATCTTTCAATCGATCTTCTAATTTAGTTGTATCGTATTTGTGAACAAAACAATTCGATCTATATTTTTTTGTTGCTTTCCTACGAGTAATCGATCAAACACAAAGAGAATCACACTAAAAAAATAAAAACCAATATTCAACTTGCACATTTACTTTTCTTTCTTATCACCTTTCATTATTATATATGAATATTAACAGAATAAAGTGAAAAACTTTATTCGAGACATTATCGATGATTCATCATTCATTATTGTTGTTCCATTGCATGCACATTTTCGGTTGATATATATATATTTTAAATATTATTAGAAATGAAGATAAGTAAAATTAGAGATATATAAAAAGTACCACAACATCTACATTACAATACATTTTCTTCGTCTAAATAAATTCCAAATGATTTTAAATGAGTTGCGAGCGAAGAAGAAAAACACTGCTTTATTAATATTTATTGCAGTATACTCTCTTTCTTTCTCTGGTTTTTATTACTAAAAGGATATGATATCAAATATTAGTTTCAACTCCATATATTCATTCTTGTCAGATTGTTGACAGGTAATTATTGTTGAAATTACAATATTGACTTTCCTGAGAAATAACATGTTTCTCCGTGAATGCTTAATGGTATCATTGAGCGCGAGCGTTCATAACAGGTGTTTATATATAGTTATTGAAAATATAATACGCGCGTGCGTTAAGAAAGAAAGAGATTGTAAATAAATTTCTAAATGTAAACGTGTATTTTCCTTTATTTATAATTATCTTTATTTTTTATTAATATAATATTTAATTTTACGAATAAAAAATTTAATAAATATAAAAAAAGGAAAAAACAATTGTAATTTATATTATAAATTATAATATATATTTATAAAGAATATAAGAGTATAAAATAAAGGACCATGTAATATAAGTTACCGAAAAGAAAATAAGATTGCATCGATAAACAAATGTAATGCAAGTTTTATTTTATTGAAATATTCTTCTTTTCAACAAACTCAATAATGATAAAACGACATGATAAGTATTCATATTAAAACGTTTTCATGCGATGTGATCTATCACGCTGAAAAAATTATGGGAAGGAACATGCGCGTTGATAATATTTGATATTTGATCTTTAACCATTATCGTATTTGTTGATCAATCCTTCATTCTCTTTCATCGTATTTTGCTTTTTTGCCTTTCATTTTGACATTTCTATCATTTCATAAATAAGAATAAAATATACAATTATAATCATTATTTAATACAATTGTTTAATATAATTTTTTAATATAAAAATGTGCATTGGAAGAATAAATTGCTACGATTAGTCATTATATTAATCAAAATCATTTTAAAAAATATACATATTTTGTATATCTTCAATAATAATATAAATATTTTTTAATTTTTCATAATTATTTGTAACTTTGTATTCGAATTTATATGTTGTTAAAAAGCGACAACTAGTGAAATTAATTGCAACTATACCTTGTGTCGTGAGTCTTGATTCAAGATTATGGTTTCGTTACAGGTTAGAATGTTTTATATTTATATAAATATAAATATTTGATTCTAAATATATAAATTTTATGTTAATTAAATGATTATTTGAGAATATTTTTATATATTTTGATAAATGGAGTGCAACGAAGAAGATTGGTCGATAGAATGTTCAGACGATGAGAAATATGAAATGGATGGAAAGGTGAATAAAAAGGAAATAATAATAAAAGCAATAATATATACAGTTTTGTTTACATGGTTTACTTTTCTTTCTTTGTTTTTTTATTTTGATATTTGTTTAGAATGAATGGACTTTGAAACCTGATGATATATTAACATTAATTGAAGCTCTTGAAACTAATAATAGAGTTTCAGAACTCGAATGGAAATGTCCTGGTAGAAGAGGTCCATCACCTATTCCTTCAAACAATCGGCAACAAGATAATGGCTCACAAGAATACAAGTACTTATAGATTTTAATATTTAAGATTATCACTAATTTTGTTATTATCATATTTTATTTTTTCGTGTTACTGTCATTCTATTTTTTTATTTAGAGCGGAAGAAAAATCAGATTTTGATTTTATGGATGAAATGTCATCACCAAGATTACCAGTTCGTAGAACTGGAGAAAGTACTCCAAAAGGAAGTGCTAAGAAGAAGACTGCTAGCTTTAATGGTGTACTATCTACTATGTTGCGACATCGTAGGTTAGAGCAACAGGAAATCAATTCAAGTCCAAAAAAGATCGAATCATCTGTATCAAAGACACAACCAATCTAAAACTCTCGTTACATCAATTTCAGCATAAATGTTTATATATGAAAATTTTATGATTAGTAGATTGTTTTTTTCTTCAATATTTGAATACATTTAAATTTGATTATTAATATCAATTTTAAACTCTAATTAAAATTTTTTATATTAGCATAATATTTTTCGCATTATTTAATTAGATATGTAGATAAATATTATTTGTATTTTTTTTTGACACAGAACATATGTATATATAAGTATTTCAATACGACTTATTATTTTTTAATTAAATATGGTTATGTATATTTATTTAACAAATATTAAATATATTAAATTATTTAATAAATAAAAAAAAAATATAAAAATTTATACGTTTTGTTTTTCGTATTTAGCCCAATCTGGAAATTCATCTGTACTCCAAACACGAGTACCCCATATAATGAAAAAAAAAGAATTTATTAAAAGAGTATATATGGAAGGAATGCAACCTCCCATCATTAAATATTTAGTTTTCAATTTTCCAACCATAGCTATAATTGCATTTGGAGGCGTACCAGCCGGTAATCGAAAAGAATAAGAACACATTATAGTTGCTGGCACCATTAAATATAATGGATTCATCTCCATTGCTATACACTGTAAGTAAAAAAGTAATTATTAACAGGTTGATAAGTTATAAGTAATATTAGTTTTTCAAGTAATCTTTTACCATTTGTGCTACAATTGGTAAGGTAATATTTGCAACACCGACATTCGCAGTAAATTCCGTAAAAGTGCCAATGAAAAAGGAAACGAAAATCATAACTAATGCTGGAGGCAAATATCGTAATGGTATCATTGCTTGTCCAATCATTCTTGCCATTCCGGAAGCAACAGTGGCTCTGGATATTGCAAAACCACCGCCCAAAAGAAACATTAAACCCCAAGGCATCTTTTTTTGGATTAAGCTCCATGTAATCAAACCTTCAGAAGATTTAATAGGTCTTATTTCCGCTACGAAAAAAATGAAAGACATTATGATAAATAGATAATTCGAATATCTAAAAATTATATAATGAAAATTATTATCCACAATTGCTTTTTTTATACTTACGATCTCTGCTAAAACTAGAAAGAAAATTTAAATCTTTCGGTATATAAAACATTAGGACTGATATACCTATGACAGGCAATGAATCTCGAACATCTCTGTCAATGAAATTCATAGATAATGAAAGATTTATAATGAATAAATATTTGTGTATTTATATATTTTTTAAATTGATGAGAATTAAATAAAACATATAAAAAGATATTTAACATTTGTGTTAAATATTCTGCCCATCCTGCTACAAAACCAGGTTTTCGAAATAACCATAAAATTACGCAAATAATAAAAAGGATAGCAACTGATAATTCATGAAATGACATTTTTCCTAGTTCTTTATATCTTTGACCTATTACCTGTAAACAGAGGAATAATAAATAAATCATTCTGTAATAAAAAAATGTATAATTTTTGATTACTTCGTTCGTAATCGCTTCTCCTTCTGTACCAATAGCTGCTGCTGCTGCATCTTTGCTTTTCGGTCTAAGATAACCCATAAAAGCTATGCGAAGATAAATCCACGTCAAGAAGGAATTAATAGCCATTTGTGGTATAGAAGCTATCATCCAATTTGTGAAGGTAATAGGCTCGGCAAGTGGAAATGTACTTTCGAAAATTCCTTTAAATGTAAGATTAGTACCCGTACCTACAAGTGTTCCTGTGCCACCAATGCTTGAACAATATGCAGCAGCCAGTAAATAAGCTTTTGTTATATTTGTTGGTTCTTGTATTCTGCAATATGTTAAAATGAGAAAATCATAATCATAATAATAATTATTCAAATAAGTAAATTTTTCCTTCTCTTTCTCTTTTTTCCTTCTTTTCTCCTCTTTTTCTTTTTTCTTATTTTTTTTTATTTTTCCCTTTTTTTTTCTTTCGATGTTTCTTTTTACTCTTTTCTTTTTTTTTCCCTTCCTTCCTTTTATCTTATTTCTATTCCCTATTCTATTTCATTCTAATTTCAATTTCATTTATATTTTGCTTATCTTTCTTTATATTTATTATTTCTATTGTTATTTATTTATGTTATTTATTATATCTTACGGTTCTGTAGATTCCGGAACAATTTTCTCTATGTAGACTTCACAAAGTCCAGCCTAAAGAAAAGAAAAAGATTGAAGATTTAAATAAAATTAGAAGAGAATTTTCTCAGTAATATTCAAATAATTAGAAATATATTATATATTTACAGATGAATGAAAAAAAAAAAAAATTAAGATGAAAATAATAAGAACCTGTTCTAATTGATTCAGAATTGCGAATATGATCGGCACCATCATGGCAGTTGTTGCAGTATTTGTAATCCACATGGATATTAAAGTGGTTACAGCACAAAGACTACCAAGTATTTTTGCATGAGTACATCCAACTACTTTCATTACTCCAAGAGCGATTCGTAAATGTAATCCACTATGTTCGATTGCTATAGCAAGAATTAAACCTCCTATAAAAACCATTATAGTATCATTCATGTAACAACCACAAACTTCTTGTGAAGTTAATATTCCAAATGCTGGAAATAACACAACTGGAATTATGGAAGTAACTGCCATAGGAAAACATTCAGTAATCCAATAACCAGCCAATAATAATACGACAAAAGCGCATCTAGTTTCCTAAAAATATCATAAAATAAATCTTTTTATAATTTAATTTCTTAAAACTAATTTTCAAACTAAATTATAATACCGAAGTATTATAAGTCGTAAGTAAAATTATTAGTATAAGTAGCCAAGATAAGGCAAACACTATTTTCCAGTATATTTTGAGAAATTGTAATATCAGCCATAGAATTTCTATTAGCCGTCGTGTCGTTGGTATCGGTTCCACTATATCTTCTCTATTGGCCATATTTTTACATCATTTTTTCTAAACATTGATTAAATAACGAATTCAATATTTCTTTTATCAAGAGTGACAAACTAGCTCTAATCGATTTGTTTTTATTTATCATATATGTATCTATGCACGTATTATTTGTTTTTAATTTCTTTTGTTACAATTTATGTTTATGTTTGATGATTTTTATAAATGTTTTTTCAGATAATAAGCGAACAAAAATTGAGTTCAATGAATTAGTGAATAAAAAATGAATAAAGCGTTTTTATTAAAAAATCATTATATTTTTCAGATTTTCTCTTATATATAAGCAATTCAAATTAAAATAATCTTTACAAAGTAAACTTGTTAAAAAAATGTGTCTTTTACGATTTTGATAATTTTTAAAAATTAATATTTAAAAAAAATGTTTTTAAACTATTTTTTTAAACTAACAATAAGATGAATTTTAATTTTCGAGATAGTCGCAAAATTTTTAAAAATTTTATTATTGCATTCTATTATTTAATTCTATCTAATATATATAATATCCTAATTTTGGAATAGGAAAAATATAAATAAGAAAATATAAAAAATATAAATATAGAAAAATAGAAAAATAAATAAGAATAAATAATAGGAAAAAGATAAAAATAGGATAAGAATTGATTGTTTCCTAAATACAAAAAAACATCATTTCAAAAATACTCAAGAGATGGCATTGATTCTTAATTCTTGTAGCAACATCACAAACATTTATTTTATCGACCGGACATTGAACACTTGGATTTTACATTTAGTCTGTGGTCTGGCGAATAATATTACATAAAAATGTATATGATAAAAAAAAAAAGAAAATCCAAAAAAAAAATTGCTCATTATTATATTTTTATACAAAGATAAAATATCACATAGTAAAAACAAGTCGTGCATAACTATATATGTTCACAAATATACATAATTATATATAAAATGCAATATTTTATATATGTTTATAAGATATACAATAACAAACTATTTTTATTTGTTATTTATAATAACAAATAAAAATATTTATATTGAAATTTAATTTTAATTCCAAACATTATTAATGTTGCTTAATTTTATTCTGAATCAAATTGATAACGTTGAAAATGATGATAAAATGGTAAATCAACATTAATGAGGAATGGAAAAAATGCAATATTAGATCTATTCTATGTGATAATTTGTATTTGTATTTAAAATTAAATTTGAATTTAATTGTGAATACTATATGATATGATAAATATAAAATTACGAATTTCGTACTTAGGTTATTTTTATCCTCGTATGTGATGTAGCATATGTTCATGCGCGCGCACGAGTTTGTTTATGATTAATGAAAAAAAAATAAATTTTATTTTTTCAAATTTAACAATAATATCATCCAGTTTGATTTATTTATCTTATTGAATAAAATAAGATTAATAATATATTTATAGAATGTAGATATATCTAGTCAATAATATAATCTTAAATATGGCGCCTCAATTTATTGCAATAATAAAAGAAAGAGGGCGATCTTGAAGCCCTTTACACCCTTTACCTCTCATTGCATCGGTCTCAACAGTGATTGTCCGCGTCAGTCGTATCAATAAATTTGTTGAAGTTAATATATTCGATGTTTAATTGCTTTAAAAGATATTAGAAAATATTGTATGCATTTGAGTGAATGTGTGTTGCAAAATAAACACGAATTATTTGAAATAATATATTTTTAGGAAGGTAAGCAAATAATATGCATGCATATTTGTATATATCTATTTTCGACTCACGAAAATTTTATACTCACGAAATACATCTTTTCTTAATTTAAATTATGATTTTCTCAGAGAATAAACAATATAATATGATAATACAATATATTATATTATAATTTATTATTATTATTATCAATATTCTTATTTCTTATTCTATTTCGTTTTTTGACATTTTTTTTTAATAACATTTGAAATATAAATTATATACAAAAAACTAATCACTATTCTTTTCTTTCTTATTCAATTTTAATAATGAAATAAATGGAATTATATTATCTTATTTTTTTTTATTCTTTTTTTTTATTTTTCTTTCGTATTATTGACTAATTTAAACGAATATTGACTAAATTTAGATGATAGTTTTCAATATCTTCATTATTATTGGCTTAATTAAACTTTCTTTAGATTAAAATGAAAGGAAAAAATAGATGAAAAATATATATATAAATTTACATAAAATAAGAAATTAAATATAGAATTGAGATAGAATAAAAGAATAATAATTTTTATTTATTTAAAATTTATATCATCGATTATTTTTCTGTTATATAAAATTGTGAAAATTCGATGCTTTCAATGAATAAACAAAACGTGATTTATAATAAATTTATAATTTATAATATTCAATTAAAAAATCAAGATATTATCAAACATTTATAATTATTAAATTTATTAAAAATTTTACCATTATTGTATTCCAACTGTTTAAGAATATTTCTTATTTCTAAGGTAAAAAAAAAAGTTAATCAAATGTTAGTTATTTATTAATAATAAAGTGTATAATCTTTTTAGCGATTTCATGAAAAAAAAAGAAACGATCATAAAGGCATAATAGAGCTGATAAGGAGTCATGAATAAATTTCACAATGAAAATAAAAAACGAAATTATAATAATCGAGTCAAAGTTGGAACACAGTGTGATTAAAAGGGTGATAGTGGGTGAGGGTGAGAGACACTGACATAAAAAGAAAGCAGCTACATATATTTAGTTGGAAAGTAGTATGTATATGTATATATATCGACTTGTAGAATGGCGAGTGCCGCGATATCGATCCCACGCAATATCGCATTGTACCCAGTAGCGTTTCCGCGGGCGTAGCGACGTTGAATGTGATCGTGGTGGTAGCGGTGATGATAATCATATCTTTTTTTGCCAGTGTCTGATTATTCTGGTGATTATTTTAATTTTCTATGTCATTTCAAATATATAATTTTCGAGCAATATTCATCATTATTCTTGATCATTGAACACCCACGATTTTTATTAATGAATGATATTTTTAAGATTTCTAAGATTCTAAGAAAATTACTCAAATATAACAGGCTGAAAAAGTAATATGTATAGTATGAATACAAAATAGTAAGATGTTAATTAAATGTTTAGCTTCAACGAAGAAAATAATTGAACATTTTTATTATTATGTATATTGTTTTACAGATAACATTATTTATGTGTATTGTTCGATATTCAGTGAAAATGTGGGGAAGAGCAAGTATGGCAGCTATAATGATTCTGATTTTAACATATTTGTGCACATTGAATATTGTATATGCCAAAGGTATAGTATTTTTTTATTATTAATACGATGATCGAATTATTTTTAATCTATTAAAATTAATATTCGGCGATAATGCTAATTAAATAATGAAAATTAAATAAATTTGGATCTATCGGTTTAGGTCACTTTGTTTTAGCCATTCTATATCAATGTTCGTACTTCAATACTTCAATACAATAAAATTTTTATTTTTTAATAATGAAAAAAATGATAAAGAAAAAAACGATAATTTAAAATAGAAAAAGAAGCTTATCATTTATTGTAGATACTATCTCAGAATCTGGTTCGAGCGATATCAATGCAGAAAACATTTTGGAACGCGCAACTACATGGTTGTGGAGCCAACGTAATAAAGATGCCGGTTGGGGAAACGATACTCATCGAGTTTTGTTAGTTCTTCGATTGAGCAATCTCTCGCGAGATGATAACGTTGCACCTGCAGCTCCTCTCGAACTACAATTGAGTAGTAAACAAATGGAACTTGAAATAGTGTTACTATTGTGGAGGTAATATTTGTAATATACTTTTTATTTACATGATGAAACTAGATTTTAAATAGAAATTCATTAACAATTTATTAACAAATAAATAAATAGAATTGATTAATTTTTATTTGCTGGATAATGAAGAAATATAATTGTGTAATATATTATATTATTTATAGGCATAGAGAAGTTAATTTTTCTCCTGTTCGATTAGCACGCTATACACTTGCCTTAAATGCTATGTGCACAGATCCAAGACAATTCCATGGTCATGACTTGATTGGAACGCTTCAACATCATGAACCACCGACTGATTTTGAATTTGCGTTAACAACATTAGCTGCGTGTAATGCACAAGCTCATGTACGAAAGAGACAGATACGTCGGTTATTAGATATTGCAAACGCTGCTCAAGATCATAATATTGGTGAGTATTATTGTTCCAATATTATCTAGATTACATTATATATAGATTATAGATATTATATTATATATAGATTATATATAGATTATATATAGATTATATTATATATAGTTAGCTTTTAATTGATATTTCTTTCTTAAAATAATTACAGATAATTTTTAATTTATCTTTCTGATTTTAGATACTGTTGCAATGGTAATCTTGGCCTTAAAGTGCATTGTTCAGGATCACAGACATCGAAATCTTCATCATTTTGTGCGTAAACCATCGGTCGGCTTAGCACAGCAACAAAAACTCGATGGTAGTTTTGGAGACATACGAACAACGGCTTTGGTAATGCAAGCTCTTGAAGAGGTAGAAAATGAGCCTGCTGATAATTGGAATAGATCTACCGCTTTAGCTTGGTTAACAAGTCAACAACAAACTGATGGTTCTTTTGGGGATGTTCGAGTAACTGCTGAAGCACTACTTGGTATAGCACCGCGTGGTTTAGCTAGTATTAGAACTCTTGATTGCGGACAAGGATTTTCTGAAACTTCATCACCAAAATTTACCACAAATGGTAATGGTAAGTCTCTTTTTTTTTTTTTTTTTTGCTTTCATTCATTTAATTTCTCTTCTTTTTTTTATTGTGTATTTTTATAAATATTTCGATTCGTTATAATATTCGTTATAATGCAGAGTCAACACCAGTTTCAAGTAATCGTAACGATAGTATATCAATATTTGTAATTTCTGGAACCAACACAAGTAATGTTACTACTGGAAATAACGGAACTAATGG